CACCGTTGAGGAAGCCTCCATTCGGGGGATGTCGTTTTCTTGATCGGTTTACGTTTAACAATTGTTGACTGCTGTGATGTGGGATATGACGTTTTGAACACCCGAGGGGTGCTATGCGCCCAGAGGGACGCAGCTGCAGTCCACAATTGTTTTGTAAGTTATACCTCTGTCTTGGATTCTTCGGATTTTGATGTAAAAAATCTCGAAAACAAACAGCAGTAAACACAACAATATTAATCATGACAATCGAACGTCAACTCACAAGCACGTCGCGCGCTCGAAACAGCTGATCGTCTGCTAGTTCGCTGCTCCGACTCATGTGTGAAAACATGGTGAAAATAGCGTCGGTACCAACGACACAAGCGTTTCACACCGTACGTACAGAACGTACGTGATATCCCACAGGGAGTGTGCCATGACGTTGTATAAACTTAATACGTGCCATGACGTTATATAAACTTAATACGTGATCGTACAAGGCCAATGAAAATACAGTAACTGTATTCAAGACAGAGGTATAACAATTCTCTTTCTTTTCGTAAAATTTTCATTAGAACATTACACTCAGTGGAATAACCGAAGAAATTCGAAAATATAATAAGCCTATATAGGCCATCAGCCTCTGTCCAAAATTTTGGCCACCGGTATCAAATGAGGAGAATAATCGTCATAGCGATTTTTGGCATGGTATATACCTCCACAGTTGGAAAATATGTGATAGCTTTGCATCGGTGGCAGCTTTTTGGGTGTTATCACCTTTTTTCAAAATGTCCATCAAAATGCTTGTTACCACTCTAAGGGCGGTATGCCCTGCGCATGCGCACTATAATCATTTATGCCCTGATTTGATACTGGCCAAACCCCCAGGCTGATGGCCTAATATCAAATTATTGTTTTCCGAGTAACACAAAATAATGGTGGAATACAAAACGGCCCAGCATTAGAATTTAACCCCTCGAGGAATGTGATTCGCTCCACGTAGTATTTTACTGTGTACCGTGCACATGCAAAACCGCTTATGTATCAAGGTGTAAATATGAATATTCATATTCTCCTGATTCTTAACCAATCAGACTGCGCAGTACAATTGTGGTAGCAACTGTCATATACGTTTTATGGAAAGCCCAGAACAGCTGATTGAAGTCGGTAAACGGAATCAGCCTACACGCCTATTGAGGCCGAGGATGCACGAACCTTCCCCGCACGTAAGTACCATATACTGCACGCTACTCGTATACCCTGAGACGGAAGGCGAATATGTCCACGTTGGTGCGGCCAATTACCCGGCGACTTGATTTCAAGTCTATGTTTCTCCCCATGGGATGACTGCCATGAGAAAAAATTGGGTTTTTTTTTTTAGAGTCCTACTTTATGGCGCTTGGTGGTACATAAATAATGTCAAGGGGAAGGGTTAAGTTGACACAAGAACAATAACAACAGTCTTAGAAACTTGACAAATAAACGGTCGTCATTAATTCCGCATCGTGTCGTTCTGAAAATTTCGGTTGTTGTGGGAGCTGCGGGCTTATATCGGGACTTCGTTTTCTCGTGCTTTTGTTTGTTATTGCAAAATTATCATGTAATGGAATTATCAATGGTGACCAGAGCACAGCGACCGAAACGTTGAGTTAAAGGCACAGTATATAATTTGTCTTTTTTTTCCGTTTGAAATGAAGCAACAGAAGTGTTCAACATTTTACAAAGGGTGCTTAACAACTAACCTGGTGAAGTGTTAGCTCGGTAAATGTTTTATATTCTGGTCGAGAAACCCATATTCTGGGATCTCGATTTCAATTCAAAAATTGCCAAGTCATGTTTTGGACTGCGCCCGAAATGAACGTCCGGGACACGTTCTCATTCAGCCGATGGCATATACGCGATGTCGCGCACTGATACGACGAATTATAGCAACCGCGCGCGCGTGTGCGTCGTCTCAACGCTTGCGCGCACCCATTCACGGCTTCGCCGAATTTAAAACGAACTGCTAAGGGAAATTTCCAAAAATGCATCTTTAGACGCATATTTAGAAATGACCTTCTTTTATTGTTTACTTGAAAGTGACAGCATGCAAGAAAAAATAATTTCACCGGGAGTAAAGTGCCATTATTATTTTTTTTAAACCAAGTAAGCTTTTCAACAATACTTCCGTTGGTTATTGTTTGGATAGCTGCAAATGATATACTCTTCCTTGAACACCCTTCGCTCATCTGAGAATCATAATCTCTTTCACTTCTAGCCACATGTACAATCGTTCACCCTATTTTGATCTTGAAATTTTATGAGGATTTGATAAATAAAAAAAAACAGTGTACAATTAATAAGGGAATAAAATGTGTGCTTGTCCGGTTTTAAACACTTTTATTTTAGGACCGGTTTGGAGTCTGGAAGCTGATAATGACCCGCGCCGCGACAACACACTTCGGTCCAAAAGTCAAAACAATGCCAAAATTAAAAACAATTCAACGATTTTGTTTAACAGTTTTACTTTATGTTTTTTTTCCAAACACTCCTCTAGCTATGTTATGGTATATCCCTCTCGCGAGTAGTCGTAAACTTCTCCTTATAAGGAGGTTAGCATGCGCGTGGCTCGTACTGCGAGATGTGGCGCAGAACGCATCGATGCCGGTGTAGTGGAACCTCGTCCCCAATGCTTGCTTTATTTCCAACTTCGTTTCCAATAGTAAGCCCTGGATAGGAAACTTTCTTCTTTTATCCTGATTCGATACCGCAATTTGCTAGTGAGGGATTTATATCGTGTAGTCGGTGTTTTTATTTCGAACGTGCATTACGTCTTTTCACGTTAATTGTAATTTTAACGTCCACGCCTTCAGGTGTTCTCATTTCTTTTCCAGTTTGCTTATATTAATATGAAATGTGATACTGCATATTGGCCGGCCAGATTGTAACATTTTAACTTCCGAAAAAAAATCGTGTTTTCATAACTCACGGCGCCACGAATTGATGCTGTTTTACCCAGACACCGCAATCAAAAATTAACGCTAATGTAACGCACAGACAGGCAGGCACCAGACTATTCCTCATACGTGTTCAAAAATCTTGCACTTACAAATGATCCAATACCAGGGTGAGAGAGCAGGTAGTGGTGGGCGCGTAGTGCTCGACACTCTGGGGACGAGGTTGGTTGTAGTGTAAATTTAGGACTCTCGAAATACGGACTCATAGTCTGGTTCCCCGACCCCATTGTCCTTTGGGCTTCGAAAATTGGTCCGGTAACTAGCGGTGAATCTGGCATACATTCCGGAATTCCGGGTAATGTATGTTAACTTAGGTCTAAAACCCGCCTCGCCTCGTGAATTCTAAATCACAATGGTAATGTTTGCGCGCGCAGAGCCAGCCTGTTGCAAAATTGGCAATACGCCTGGCCACGAATGTGCACTTTTGGAGGTAATGAGCTTCCATTTTAGCTGAATTTGAAAGTTTCTCTCGCGAATGTCAATAACGAGAGAAATATTGCTTTTCAATATTTACAACCTATGCAGTTGAAATGCTTGAAAGTTGCTTTCATTGAGACACTGGTAATTTTGTGATCTTTTTGTGGTGAGACAAGCGTGAGTTTCTGGATGATCGTGAGTACAATATCCGGCGTCCATGGGGGAAAACAGCGATTCAAAAATAAACAGTCGTAATGCGCGCGCGCAGAAGCGATCCAATCAAAGGCTCTAAATGACCGCTATTTACCCGTCCCCATATATTTAGGGGGGGCGGGACACAGTCTAACGGACTCATTGGTAGTATTGCACATATGCCTGTAACTTTGCGAATGTTTTATCAATAAAAGGGTCAAAGGGACCATACATCATAGAAGTCAAAATGTGACAACAGAAAAGTGTTTAGATCATACCAACCAACGGTTTGTTTTATCAACTGCTTACGACTGGTCACGTGACGGGCTCTCGACCAATAGAATTGGGTAAACTGTCTGAGGTATTCCTGAATAAAAAAAAATCTAGCTTCCATAATAAAGTGCACACGTTAACAAAGCATGACGTCAATATATTTGAGATGTAATCTATTCATTTGATGAAGAATAGCTGTTTTTTAAGGTTTATTCAGGTACACAAGCGACAGTTAGTGAGCCAGTCAGTGATGAGACAGTCAGTCAGTAAGGTATAAAGACGACACTTTTACAGGGTTCGGAATTAGCGGTAGCCCGCTAGCCAAATGCTTGTCAAAACAGCGGCGGGCTAGTCAAACTACTCCTTACTTAGCCCGGCTGGCGAGTGAAAAATGATTGGGATGAGGCAAAGATGCACGTACAGGAAGAAATAAATCATTAAACTCAGAAAGAAAACCCCATCAATTTGTGTCTAATTTTATCAACTGTTTTAAAGGGTTAAATTATCAGATCTGTTAATCAAAAACCCTGACAAAATTGCCCAGAATTAAGCCTGAAAATACGCCATTTTGTATTTGAGATAAGAAAAAAATGCGGGCTAGTGAAAATGCCCACGGGCTAGTTGAGAGTCCGTTTCAGTAGCCCGGCTGGCTAGTGAACAAAAAAAAATTAAGGTCAAACCCTGCCCTAAAGTTGGCCTTCAGGGACCAGCACAAATTACGAGACCCATATTGAAACAAACAAAAATCATGACGGAGGTCAATGTAGAGGTACTATAATTATATAGTAGCTATAACATTGCCTTCCGTATTGATTTCTGTTTGTTTCAATGAGAGGTTTGTTATCATACATCAAAGAGTTTACGAGTGGACAAACAGAACGAGCGGAAGACATTGGTTTTCTTAGCGTTTACGACTCTTTGGCCACGCAATTTGATACTGCCATCAAGAGGAAGTGATCGCAATTTGTGTTGACACCTGAAGCATTATAAAGGCGTGTCTTTCAGTAGAAAAAAAATTACGGTGGGCCCAGGATGATCGATAGCGGTTGCAAAAACGGTATGAACATTTCCACTTTCTCTGTTTGGACTGTCGTTGTAACTATCCGTGTCAAATAGTACCAGCTAACTGTATTGTAATTACTTCACTTTTGTTCACATACAAGAACATGTCATGCAGTCTGCCTCTAACTTTCAATATCCGAAAGACAATCCTGATAGATCTAGCCCACGAAATACATTGTCTGGCAAAGCTTCTTTATATCGGATCCGTAGTTTGTCTTCGTCACGAATACCCAGCGCGTGTCCATAAATATTTGGACAAGAACTTATTTCATATTTTCATTATTTCCATATTTGGAAAAATGGAAAACTAAAACTGGTCAAGCTAACCAAATTAGGCTTTGTTATTATACTTGGCTAACTTAAGGCAAATTATTGTTACCGAAAACGAAGCCGTCGGCTTTTTACAAAAAGCTTTGACGACAAAATGTTGCTTCGAATGTCCATGCCGCTGGTTCTGTTTCTCTTCGCTTGGCAAAGCGAATCGACACCGACGGTCCAACAGAACCGACTGAAGCTTCTCTACTACACCGCCTCAGACGACGGCAGCCATCACCTGACCAACACCAAGATCGCCGAAGCTCTCGTCAGGAAAGGACATGACGTCACCTTCCTCCTTAGCGACAGCTTTATAAAGTGGCGGAACGCCAGCAGGGCTGACAAGTTCAGGTTCACCGTGCACCGATCGCTGTACACGACGGAGGACCGGGAGCGGAATAAGCGAGGACTGTCTCGAGTTGCTCTGCGTGGGGAGCTGAGAGGCGCGGTAAACGCGATGAAATTCCTCCTGAGGTCGATGTACTCCGCGGATAGTCACGGTCGCCGGGCGTGGTTCAACTTCCTGTGGAGCGAGTGCGACACCTTGCTGGGGGACAACGCAACGATCCGGGCGCTGAGAGAGGAGAACTTCGACCTGCTGATCGGGGACGATTTGTCTGATTGCCAGCCGCTGCTTGCAGAGATTCTGGGGATCAAATTTGTCCTGGTCAGCGGCACGGGCATCCTTCCTTCCAAGGGAAGCTGGTGGGTACACAGACTTCTAATATTTGACATACATGTAATTGATTAAACAGTGGGCCCGCACTTTTCTTCTTCTGCAGGTGTTGCCATGCTGTATGTCACTTTACGATTCCTCTTTGCAGGTACGGCATTCCAAACCACTCGGCCTACATTCCCGAGCGCCAGGCTGGTCTAACCGACATGATGAGCCTGCCACAGCGCATCATAAACACCTGTCGCTATTTCGTCACCGGTCTGGCCAGACGAGCTGCGCTTCGGAGGTTTGAGGATCTCCAGAGAAAGTACAACTTGAGCCCGGAGAACCGGATGCCAGAGATGCTGGCCCAGGCTCAGCTCTGGCTGTTCTACGGTGACTTTGGGCTGGAGTTCGCCCGACCCTTGCAGCCCAACACTGTGATGCTTGCCTCACCCATGCTGGGTCTTCCCTCCAACGAAAAGGTGAGACCCGTCGGTCAAGTGTGGTCTATGGAATATCCCCTTGGCAAATATATATGTGATTTGCGAGCAGATTCGGCTATTAATGTTGTAAAACAAGACTGCATCTTGACTTGGAGATTCTGCGGGCGCAAAATTAATCGGTTCTTCGGTAACCCGTTGTTGTATTACAAAAAACATGGCAGCTAAATTGACCAATCAACAGCTTAATTTTTCCACATTTGTGATCGATATGACGTACAAATTTCTTAAGTCGACTGCGATTGGCTGGCGCGTAGAGTGGCATACAATTTGCATTGCTCACATAATATCAGTCGTTGGTTACAATGGGTTGTACTCAGACTAGGTCAAGTGTACAAAGAAAAGAAATTCGTGCACGTGGATTTTCAGAATACGCGCAAAAGTAATACGCATGTTGAAAACGTATGTATACACATGCATGATTGTTGGCCTTATAACGTTCGGTCATTTTGTTCCTCAGATTTCAGTGGAACAGCAGAAATTTCTGGACGATGCCAACGAAGGCGTCGTTCTGTTCACGCTGGGTAGTCACGTGAAGGAGGTGGAAACTGCGCAGGCTCAGATGTTCGCCAACGGATTGGCCAAGCTGAAGCAGCGCGTCATCTGGCATTTCCCTGGCAGTGTTACGCATTTGCATATCGGGAACAACACGAAGGTTGTACAATGGATGCCACAGCAGGAGATAATGGGTGAGTTCGATAAAACACACTCTTTAGCTTTAACCGAAGGTATATGGATGGACTCAGGAGGCCAACTCTGTTTTTAGGTGACTTTTGTGAGTTGCCACTTTGTAAGCGAAAAGTAACAAAAGTATGTATCTGTTGCGCATGCAATTAATTAAAATTTGTACGTCACGAAATTTTGTCTACAGGGTGAGTAAAAAAAAACCAGGAAACCCGAACGGCGCCCCTATTTTAAAAATAATTTCTGCATGTAGGGCTTTTTTTGCAGATTTAGGATGTAAAAGCCAAATGAGTTTCTTTTAATGAAAAAATTATTGAAATCGCTCATGTACTTTTCCAGTTATGGAATTTTGTTCATTAACACCGTTTATATAAGCTTGTCCACGGATCACAATAAAGGTTAGGGATATTTCAGCATAACAAAAGCTATTCACATATCAAAAAACACATCAGAACAGACTCATAACCATGATAACGGGCACCTATCGTAACATTTATGTAAAAACCTAGATGCTGCTTCCAATGTTAAAATAACATGTTTTATAATGTAAAGAGTAGTTGTGCCCTGCCTTCTACTTGGCTACCCAAGAGACTTATGGGATTATTCTGATATCATTTACAGGATACGACATGGTTTCATTTTTACTGAAATATCACGTACCTTCAATGTTATCCGTGGACAAGGTTAAAAAATGGTGTTATTGGATGCAGATGTAGATGCAGATGTAGCTATAGATGTAGATGTATGTGTATGTAGGTGTAGGTGTAGATGTAGTCTTAGGTGTAGGTGAAGTAGTATGTGTAGGTGTAGATGTAGGCGTGGATGAAGATGTAGATGTAGATGTAGGTGTAGATGCAGATATATGTGTAGATATAGATGTAGGTGTAGATTTAGATGTAGACCTTGGGACCCGACTTAAGAACGTTTTATTTTCGGACTGTCAGCTCATAGGAACACCAAGGCGCTGTTGAGTCACGGCGGGCTGAACGGCATGTACGAGGCGGCTTGGTACGGCCTCCCCATGGTCGGTATACCCCTCTTCGGTGACCACTTCGACAACATGGAGCGAGCAGTCGCTAAGGGGATGGCTCTGCAGTTGGACATAGCCACGTTGACAGAGGACGCCCTTTGCGACGCAGTCACCCGCGTCATTGAAGATCCAAGGTATGCGTGTAACTTTAAACTCATCATTTCCTGTGAGCTGCCATGGTTATGGAACACGTTGGTTTCAAGGGTGTCCCTTTTTATATGGTTGATATACGATACGCCGTACTTTTCGATATTATTTTCAATGGCTTTTAAATTACACAAAGCCTGCAGTATTGCAACAATTTTTTTTTTTGTCTCCCCTTCGTTCAATGTATTTTTTTAAATTTTATTTTCAGACGGGTTCACGGTATATATATTTTTTTGGGGGGGGGGGGGGGGGGGGGGTCAGGAGCCCAAAATAGGGGCGGTCAGAGATTACAACCAAACAATTAAAAAGGATACCTTAAAGCGCCCTCAAGTAGATAACTTGTGAGCAACGACTTCCACGAAGCGACAGTTTTCGCCTCGTTTCCATTGCAACAGATACTATCTGAACCTTTCTTTTGTTTGTAATCATTTGGCGCCATGTTGTATGGGCTGTCACAAGAGCATCAATTTTAGCCGTGGTTGGCAACAGATTTTTTTTTCCTCCAAAATGCATATTAACACGCCCATGTAAGAAAGAGGCAGTTTTATTAAGTATTTGGTATCATTTAATGGGTGTTTTCTATTTTAAACAATTCAATTATATGTCTTCAAACATTAATAACTTTTTTTGCGACTTTGGCCTTCCATAGTTTGCCGACCCGTGGTTGGCAATAATTTTCAACCACGCAGCCATGTGGTTGCGAAGGGCGATTTGTAAAGGTTACGTAACACTTTATTTTGAATGAAACTACATGTACAGTGACGCACGTGTTCACGTTGGCGGTCGAAATCTTTGAAAATTAATTTCTCCCGTTTGGAAGACCGTATCTTCATGATACTTTCAGGGTTTATTTCCCTTATAATGATCGAATTATGTGCTAAAAATCGTTGTGATGTGTTCTTTTTTTCCGTTGAAATTGGAAAAATAGGCCTGGCTACGTGCATATTTGAAAGCTGTAACACTGACGTTAGCAATGTCTGTCAATCTTTTCAAGCCGCACACATATTAATGAGGTTCCTATCCATTGTGGTGTGCAGTAAACATTTGCGTAAAAGCCTCTTTCACGAGTTATTAATTGATAAATATCACCCTTTTTGCCGGCTTCCATTGGTCGATACCGAGACCCACGCCAAGTCACGCCGAGTGACGCTAATGAATATGCTAATATGCGATTGTCCATTGTGTGGCCGGGCCGAAATATTTATCGGTCAACCGTAGCGCCTACTAAGGAAAACCATACACGTGGGTTTGGTCGCTAAAATTCGTCGCCGAAATTTTCCATAGAGATGATTCAATATGTAACACAAGCGTTAGCAAAAACAGATAAGCTGAAATTCGGAATATAGTTAGATGGCATGCGTGTTCAACTATTCGTGAAATAACAACTTCCGTAAATTCCTAGAAACTGATATAAACACATAGATTTGGGGACGTTTTCGAACGATTTCTTTAAGATTTGAAGGTCGGCTTTACCAGTAACCAGTATTGACGTTCCGGCATCGATGACGGCGATTTTTTTCACTGACATGAAGTTTACAATTCCTTCTCAATTCCGTTATATTTTAACATTTCAATCATACTGAGCATATTTTTTGAGAAACACAACGTTCCAAATGCCATGTATTTGGGGGTGCATGAATTTCACTGCTCTGTTATAGCGTTTAAGTATGTAATCGGATTAGCTTTGCCTAACAACGGCATGACGCTTTGTGTTCGCAACCATATATGGCTGCACGAGTTGTAGGTCCCGTTGGCTATATTGAAAATGAGATGTACGATGGCCTGCATGTTTAGGACACGTTACGCACGCGAAAGTAATCGCGAGCGCTAACTTGCGTGAAATTGCTCATTGCAATTTTTCAACTTATACTGTGTACAATTAATATCGTCTTGATTTGCATGTAAGGGACGCGCCCGAGCGTGAGAACACACGTTGGCAGTGACATTCACACGTTCTTTATATATGCTAAGTCTTTCAGAGTATAATGGCGTTGTTGCAAACGGAATTCACAGTTCCTAAAGATTACCGCTTTTTGACTTATGACTGTAGATATGGCGAGAGGGCGCAACACATCTCACGCCTGCTCCGCGACGATCCAGTCATTCCGTCCGAGAAGGCAGCTCACTGGATCGCCCACGTGGGCAAGTACGGCGGGGAGTACTTGCGACCTCGTGCGGCCGACCTCAGCTGGATCCAGTACCACCTGCTAGACGTGTACGCCTTCCTGGCTGCCATTTTGTTCGGTGTGCTTGGTGTGTTGCTACTAGGCTGCAAGGGTATTCTGTGGATGGCGTGTCGCAACCGCAGGCAACGGAAGATAAAAGTTAACTAGAGGAATGAATGAATCTAGAACGATTCAACGCTATTAAATTAACGCACATTAGGATAGAATTGCAGCAACAAGAAATAGTTACAAGTGAACTAGAATTAGCTGATCTGTTAGTTGGCCTGAAACATCATTGGTGGCAGTCAAGTATTGTTTAATTCTCAGTTTCCTTAACCAATTGGTCAAGAAATAATCAAATTTTCTAATGTTAATACACAATACACCCCTGACTCAACCCTTCGACTCAAACGCAATTTGAAAACGACGAACCTGCACCACACTGTACCAATAGCTTTGTTCACAGTTCATAAATAATATTTTATTTCAACAAAATCACAAAAGTAGTAACACTCAGTTGTGTTGTTGCTTTACACCCTAGCCAATAAATTTAACCTAGCACATTCAACATGTTCAAGTGCATGACTTTCACTAACTGCAACGAATAAACTCCATCTTATGTTTACTCCATCTTATAGTTTCATTGCGGTACCCGCTGCTACATGTACATCAGATTCGAACCAGCCAACCGATCCCACAAGCTCGGTGGCCGAGTCTTAAGACATCTGCATTAGAAAGCATGAGGTCGTGGGTTCGAGTCCCACCGAGTGATTTTTTTTCCAACTTTTACTCGGGAGGTAACATAGCCTTGTTCAATGCGGTCTCTCGGCTTTTTGTCGAAGGGAGATAATCGGGCCCTGCACCCACAATCAACGCGGCTACGTGCGTGTACCACCGACCCTTGTCCGTGCGTGTACCGTACCACCGACCCTTGTCCGTACGAACGGTTTGGTACTAACACAACCAGCAAGCACAAACACGTGAGTACGGACTGTACGCATGGTGTAATAAGGCAGTAAATGTAGGCCTACTATGTTCTAAGTGTGGGTGTACGTACGTACGTGTGGGGGATATACGCGCCGCGTGGCCTGTCGAACGTTGGGTTACGCGGACTAGCTCATGCATGTACATGTACATGTACATTACAGTACTGTGTGTGTATGGCTGTTGTACGAGTACGTGTGTGATGTACATGTACATGTACGTGCGTACGTACATGTACAAGCATAGCCTTGCTGTATGGGACAAGTTGCTTTCTCACTAGCAGCCTACGGGCATCGATATGTGCACGCAATTATGCCTTGCCAAATTGATTAGGGATTTTCTTATCGGCGATTTTTTTTTTTCGGCGAATCGATAAGCCCAACGGCTTGGTCAAGGCTAGAGGTAACAATGAGTATACGGTGTTTCTACGTCGTTGAAGGGTAAAACCCAATATTGATGAACGAATGGCATTTGGTTTACATATATTAAACGGTTATAAAATACAGTAGACTCCCGTTATTACGAACTCGGTTATAAAATTTGTTTTGGTATACCGACAACCTCTTATACCAATACACGTAAATGTTTAAAACCAGCCTTATATGACAACAGCATTGCGATACTTACATGAAAAACGTACGCGTACCTTGTCTCCGCAATAAATGAATATTTCACTATTATATTTATCTCTCAAAGACTATACGTTTGGTAGCATAATGTATTACACATGTTCATGTATGAACTCCCAAACCATAAAAGTGCATATAGTGCAAGTAATAGTTTCAATGGCAATTATCTACTTTTTTTGTAGGTCTGAACGTGATATCACTGTAGGCCTACGTAGCCCCTTCAATTGTGTAAGCATTTGTGCCCGCTAGTGTTAAGGTACTTGTATGATCCCTCTTGGGGCAGTTGCTTTGTACAATAGCTGGCACAATACGCTTCCGCCATGGAAGGGGGCCTGTGAATGTGCAGTGATACATTGTAGCATGCTCTGGAAATAAATTCATAAAAAATATAAGTTCAAATATATGCACAACCATGGTTGCACTTGTACCTTTGCGATTTTTTGAAACAATACTGTTTTATTTAATAAGGTGAATTTATCTTATTGCTATCCTTACCCTGCCAACCTTCACATCTTAACTGTGCTATTTGTATTTTCTGTACAAATATCGCCTTCATTGCCAAATCTTGTATCTACCACTTACCCTCATAAAATAGATACCTACAAATTATTTAGATACTGACAAAATAAATTACCATTTCAAACGATAAATAAAACACACACAGCTGTGAAAATCATTCATTTCACTTGTCACATTTTTGTTACCAATTTAGCACACTAATTCGATATACTAACCAACTCATCTAAGCAGTTCATTTCGAGCAAACACAATGCCAGGTAGGTATTTATTTAAACCAAAATTCAACTATTTGTAAATAGTACGTGCTTTGATATTTATACGGGTACACATACGTGTATATATCGCATCGCATCGCATCGCATCGCATATATTATATCAATACAAAAAATACTCAATTTGCATAATATTGGTGATCATAACTGCATGCACTTCTGCCAATACAACACGGCTGCCCAACAAAAATGAAAAGAGAGAAGTGAACAAAGGGGCTGCTGTTTTAACTTCCTTTCAAGATTTCGTATAAAAATAGACAACTGGACAGGATATACCCCTCTGAAAGCATTACCAACAGATCCATCCAAACAATATCGGCAGTATAAAAATGTTGTTCGATGGAACACGCTACAAATATATAAATCTATACAAACGTCTAGAAAATGCAAAATATAACGTACTGTGCATGTACATGTACATATACTCCTCGTGCATATTCAAATTTCAGAAAAGATTTAAACGTACGGTAAGCGTCCATTAATTGCCACTAAACTACTCATACACTGTAGTATTTCTTTTGCAGATAACAATGCCACTTAGTCCAAAGTGACGAGATTCTTGCAACATGGCCACCGGGTGTCACAGAATTGCAAGCAATTATGAAAAGTGGACTACATGTACATTGTATATCCAAGACGTGCACAGCACCACCCTAGCCCTATGGGCTGACACAGGCAAGGCTTAACATTCACAACTGAAACATTACCTCTCTTAAAAAAAAACCTAAAATCGAAAATCATAATTAAAAAGCACCATCTGGATTCTATTTTAATTACAAACAGTCTTACACATGCCTCATACAACAGAATTGTAAATGCACACAAAATGTTATGGTGGTTCGAATAAATAAATAAATTAAATAAATAGATTAAATAAATAACAATATCCTGCGCAGCACAAAAAATGTTAACACACACAAATATAGAGTATTAGCCAAGCTTTGAAAAGAGCCCATGCAATGTACATGTACACATTGTTTATGCAGTCCTTAACCCTAACACCCTAGCGTCTTTTACTAAGAACTGGACCAATTCCATCAAAATCCATCAATCACTGTGCGTCTAATACAAAACTGTACATGACGTAATGGGATCCACCACTGACGCACTGGTTGACATTCGTGGACTTGCTACACATGGCTTTTATCACAATAGCAGTACAGGAATTTAGGCAAAATCAATCGGATACCCCTAGCACTGTTTCAGGCTATTAGGCCCAAGTCCATCATACTCCATCAATATTTAGTCACGCCAGCATGGCCAGGCCTTCTGGACCAAAATCTCCCAAAATCCACCAAAATGGGGGATGGATTTTGATGGAGTTGGGGTGGTTACGGTGTCCCACATAAAAGCACACTTAACCTTATTTTCACTTATCGTTTTGCCATTTTCAAGGGTATTTTGGTGCTCTTTCTTGGTTTCTATGTTAATGCAAATTTCCATATTCATAAGAAGTTCGATGTCATGTCAGGCAGAAACATCAATGTTACAGCTATTTCAGAATCAAAAGTTGCCAGAATTTTGATGTTTTGCTGTAATAAATGTTATTTTCTTTGGCGATTCGTTTTTGTGTCAGTACATGGCAGTAAGCCAATGATCAAATTTTTCGGGTTCACAGTTTGAACAGAAACCCCTATGCTGAAATGACATCACAGCAACAGCCCCCTCAGTTGTTCGGAAACGCATGGAAACTGTTTAATGTTTAAAGTGTTCTTTTCAATGAAATTAACCCAAATTTCAAATAGTTTTCATACATTTAAGAGAAGTAGAAAGTTGTACCAAATGTGTTATTAAGAAAATATCATCTCATGGCCCCTTTAAACTGTGTTGGACGTATAATTATTCGCATGTTTTGGTTCTCATATTTGTTTGCCTTTGAAGTAGGATCGATCGGTCAACAAATAAGTAAAATCTTAAGAGAAACAAACAGAAGTTGTTCCCGTCTAGATGGCTAAATTAAATGATGCCAACTTTTTTTTCAAGTGCGTATTGTCTCTAGTTTGTTTACTGCAATGAGTCTATTATGAGTTGATATCACTGAACAAAATAATAAAGCCATCTTTGGCAAGATGTATAATGTACATGTACACATGTAGTTGTCTTAATATTATTTGCTGCATGCAGGTCACTAACGTTTTGGCTGAGTGGCAGCCATGTCATACCATGCCCTAGCAAAGGTAAATTACAGACCTCAGACATCAATATGAGAGGCAACATCCTGGCAACTTCTGGGCTAGCACTGGTTGCTATATTATGCCGTACTCAGCATACAAAGCTGGTATTATTTTTGTCCATAGTTTTTCAAATAACACAGAGCCTCATTGGTTGAATTTTGTATTCATTATTGTTTTGTTTTTTTTGGTTCATTTTGTTTGTTAGTACGAGGGTTCCAAACAGAGTTGACGGTAAAGAAAAATGTTGGTTTTTTTTTTCTTGAGTTGAAAAAGAGAAACAAAGAAATAAAAAAAAACGGATGCTCTAAATAATTCAGAGGCACATACAAAAATGACTTAAATTAAATCCCAATCCTAGTACAATGGCACTTGAAACTGATGGGGATAAAATCACCTTTCGTGCTCCAAAACCCTCGCTATTTCCTTTTAAAGGGAATGTACAACATTTTCTTTTGCTGCAATTTTCAGAAAGAAATGCATTTGGAGGATTAGTGTGTTAAAGCATATATTGTTAAACTGACTTGCTTCACGTTTTTGGGTTCGGAAATGCTGGAAAATCCAACAAAACCAACCATGTTCTTGTAGTCTGGTTCCCTGACCCCACTTAAGATGAAACAGAGCACTTTATAGACTGTGGGGAATTGTAAGGTCAGAGAATCAATCTATCAGGCTTGTACCCCTTCACAGGTGTGTAATCAATTGCAAAGAAAATGTGGAATAACTAAATATGAAAAGTTAGGAGCAGTTTTTGAAAAAAGCCAGTTTTCCCCCAATGCTGGTCGGCCGACCAGCATTGGAAAAATGCATGTTTTCTTGAAAATGTCAGCACACCAGGAGCCACCATTTTACAGGATGCTTTGGACTGTCATTCCCTAACAATCCAGTAAGATATTTCGTGACAATTTGATCATTTCGTTTTTTGATGTTTGCAAATGTTGTAGCTTCCCTTTAAAGTCAAAGAGAGGATACAACATATCAACAACCCACTACATATCTCACAGCTCAAATCCAATCCTGCTTAATGTACATGTAAAAGTACATTGTATGTAGTTGGTGTGTTTTGGCCTAATACTAGTGTATGGGCCTTATGCACGAGTCGGCCATATTGAATTGAAAAGCGAGGTAAAATCTTAATTTTTGGAACTTGCAAAGAGAAATGAAAGCAAGTTAAATACTAAATAATTCCAGTCTGCTTCAATGAATGATTTAACATTTGTAAATGAACATTTAATAAAGACTGCATTATACCTGCATAAATAGTCTTTATGCCTGCATAAACAGTTAACAATAATGAAATACATTCAGCATGTTCAGGGAACTTGACAAAAATGGCCAACTTGTGCATAAGGCCCACTAGGCTTTGGCAACTCCAGGCTGAAACTGAATAGAATCCGAATAGCAACTTCAATTTTAGAGGAATAAACTCCCTGCAGTGGTCAAGTACCGAAAAAGACATTCAAGACATTTTTAAATAAATTATCATAATTTAAGCGAGGAAAATGACCGTGCATGACCTTGCATTTACTGACTAAGTACTACAGTTCATTCAGGAAATGAAAGATGCATCCCCGTGCTATTGTCAGGTTTCACCTTGAAAAATAGATTTGTTTTTCAATTGCAATTTTCCTAGAAATTTAAAAGTTATTCACTTTCGAATGAGACACTGAACGAAAAAGATCAACCGATCTTTAGTAAGGCCTATCCGCTCCGTTCACAAGTACCCCCTCACCGGCCAAGAAAGCACAGTTGGGGGTGACCGACCGACGCCATCTTGCCTGACTGCAATTTTGCCGCGACATGCGGTCTACCACTTCACTGCGTGTACATAGTACAAATCCCCTGGTGTACGTGCGTCACACACAAGGAACGGTGCGCGTCAACCAGCTAAATGTCCCGCCCATGGGACATTGTTGCTAGGTAAAAGGGCGCCCTCTTTTCATTAGCAACAAAGCCCATTGAATTAGTTCTTCACAAATATCAAATTATTGGCTGCCAAACAATAATTCGCCTCTCGCAGGTCGGGTTCATTAGTACGCAAAAGGAAATTCCTTTTTCATTTTTTTCAAAGGGTTGCAAACGCCAAATATCGGAATAAGGTAGTTTTTCCTTAAAACAAAAACATACATATTGACAATTATTCGAAAAATTGAACAAAGAAATTGACTGGAGCGGGGCTTGAACCAGCGACCTCCAAATAACCGGTCCGGTGCTCTACCAACTGAGCTATCCAGCCCTTTGTTTGCGATTCTCCAGTTAGTCAATGTCTTTGTTCAAGGGGCCCGAAGGGGTGCCAGTCAGAAGCCAAACACCTGTATGCCATACAGCCAGGGATCGCGCCCAAAGTCACGATGCTAGACCTGGGAAATAGCAAACGGGGATCACTCATACTTAGAGGATAAGACTTTTTATTACAAATTTGATTGAAAAAAAAAAATCAGTTAAAAATCCATTTTTGAAGAGCACGGGGTATTATGCATCTTTTAAAGGGAATGTACAACATTTGCTTTTGCTGCAATTTTCAGAAATAAATGGATTTGGAGGATAAGTATGTTATAGCAAATATTGTTAAACTGACTAGTTTCACTTTTTGGGCTTGTAGATGCTGAAACCAAGAAAACCAATCATGTTCTTGTAGTCTGGTTCCCTGACCCCACTTAAGATGAAACGGATCAATTTATAGAATTTGGGGAATTGTAGGTCTAAGGTCAGAGAATCAGTCTAGCAGACTTGTACTCCTTCACAGGTGTGTAATCAATTGTAGAGAAAATGCGGAATAAATAAATATGAAAAAAGTAGGAACAGTTTTTGAAAAAAAAACGTTTTCTCCAACGCTGGTCGGCCGGCCAGCGTTGGCAAAATAAAGTTTTTCTTGAAAAGTCAGCACACCAGGAGCCACGATTTTACCAGATGCTTTAAACTGTCATTCCCTAACCATCCAGTAAGGTATGTCGTGATAATTTTGTTTTTTGATGTTTGCAAATGTTGTATCTTCCCTTTAAAGAGGTTTTCACAATCCTGGAATATGCAATCGGAATTGACTCCCAAATCCAAATATGTCACAGTTGCCCAAGCCCAAGTATTTGGTACTTGGTACTTGGTTGGTTCTTCTCCTAAATTCTCTGCAGGGGAGTTTTAACAGTACCGGTACATGTACGATGTAGTATCATATGTTACCAGCACCGGTCGTTTTGATCGGCGCGTCCTGCTGACTGTGCTTCATCTTGACCAGCTTCTGGATGGTCAGGTTGCGAACTTTGACCTCTTGGCCCAGGGAGTCTCGCTCCTGGAGGAGCTCCACCAGCTCTACAGAGATGTCTGAAGGATAGAAGAAGTGGAGAACGGAGGCTTTGAATATTCATGAGTTCAGTACATCAATAATGGAACAAACTGAGTTGTCGTTTAGTCAATAATTATAAAGTCACACGTCAAGTGACAGGGTCTTTCAAATAAAATCTGACATACATGTTAGTAATGCGTCGTCATTTTTTGCAATTTGTTTGTTATTTAATTACTAAATAAATACATTACCGGTAATTAAAGGGAATATACATCATTTGCTTTTGCTGTAATTTTTCAGAAATGGATGGAATTGGGGGGTTGGAAATATATAGCAAATATAGTTACACTGACTTTTTTTAGGTTTTGGGTTTGAAAATGCTATAAAAAGCAAGAAAAACAATCATTTTTCTGTAGTCTGGTTCCCTGACTCCATATAAGAAGAAACAGAGCAGTTTACATACATTGGTGAATTGTAAGGTCAGGGAACCAGTCTAGCTGGCTTGTACCCGTTCATAGGTGTGTAATCGATTGCAAACAAGTGCGATGGTCAATTGGGGCCAGTATTTGAAAAAAAGCCAGTTTTTTCCAACGCTGGTCGGCCGACCAGTGTTGGAAATTGATACAAAAATACCACTTTTCTTGAAAATGACAGTATACCAGATGTCATGATTTTACAGGAAGCTTTACACTGTCATTCACTAACAGTCCAGCAAGGTATTTCAAAATGATTTGGTAGTTTTATTTTTTGATGTTTGCAAATGTTGTATTTTCCCTTTAACCTATTTGCAAAAAACAGGCCTACATGTGCTACAACCTGACCTTGTTGGCATGAGTTTTTACTGTACAGAACTATTCTGACTTTTAACAGAAAGGAAATCAACACTGCAAGCTCAGCTGCACTCTATCTGCTTGGTCAATTATCCATGTAATGATGACAGTAGCCAATTGCATATAAGTACCTGTACCATTGATTAAATCCTTCAACACCTGTGCAAACACACCAAGCCTCTTAGACTTTAATCAAGCCCCTTATGCACTGAATCAATCAATACTATGAAGTCCATTATCGGAGTAGTGTGCACAACATGCATACCCGCAAAAAAAGCATATGTGGATGTTCTGTCCAACATATTGACCCATCGGTACTTACATGCATGTATGTAGTTCAATTATTTTTTAAAGATGATAGGGCCTACCGTTACTCAATGCTCTTCAAAAAATTGATTTTTTTTTTCTCCAAACAAAATTTCAATGTGTACATTCTATGTTTTGTTTTAACGAAGGAAAAAAAACAACTTTTTTCCGGTTTTGGGCATCTCCAACCCTCTGAAAAATAAATTTCATTTTGTGCACAATGAACCCGCCCTGCGAGAGACGAATATAATATTGTCTGGCAGCCAATAATTTGATTGTTGCGAAGAAATAATGTGTTCGATGTCTCATTCAAAAGTGAATAACTTTCTATTTCTTGGGAAATAGCACTTCAAAGTTGAAGAAAAAAAAAACAAAGCTATTCTTCAAGATCAAACGGGAGGGAACGTATTGGTACCCCTTCATTTACCCATTCTAAGGGTTAGCTACCAATGGCAGTACAGTCGAGTCTCGTTAAATTAATACAAACTCGTTCGGACAGGTACATGTAGCTAAATTGTTTGTTATGTCAGAATTTTGTATTAAGAGGAATATCAGCCCCACTCATTGTGCACATAAATGCACAGTCGGGACCAAGGCCTTATGTTGTTTTAACCAGAATTTGTAATAACAGAGTTTGTACTAACGAGAGTCGACTGTATACATACAGGCATTGCTCCGTGTTTGCCTTGTGTTTGATCTATTTTGTACAGAACAGATGGTGCATGTGCCTTTAATTGTCATAACAACATCGGCCTAATGAGAAGGATGAGCCTTTCCAATATCACCAGTCTCAATTAAGTAACTGCCAATATGCTGAGCGTCATCTACACGCAGTACTAAAAACCTGCTCAATATAGTCAGATCAATAATAAAGTAGAGAGAGATTCCTCATTATGATAATGATGGTATCTGCTCCATGAGGAAGGAAGCTGAATAATATCTGGACTGTTTTTACAGCGTCATCATTATATCATGCAGCTATGAATTTATGATTCATCGTAGACGTGTACATGTTATATCCATGTAATACGTAAATGCACCAATGTACAAATATTATTCATGTTCGCTGGTGATCAAATTTCTTTAATCCCATAATATGCAAAATATTCAAAATAATTGCTGAGACCAAAAATTTGCTTCCAATTACATGGTATTTAATAAAAAAAAAAAAAATGGGCAATTGTTTTTGTATACGATCATATGGAGGTGTCTGCCTGTAGTCAAGGGTAAAAAGTAGTAGGCCCTACATGTACATGTCTACTAGTATGCTGTCATTTTTTAGAAAACTACATACATGTATGTACCATCATTTGCTCACAATGGCTACGAGCAAACAATCGTGCTCTCAACTTTTAATCTAGACAAGGCTAGGTGCTTTGCGTCGAGAAAAATAAAACTGTGAACATGGTTAAGTATGATATCTACTGAGCTGAACTTTGGACAGGTTTACTTTTGTAATAACCTGCTTCAGATTTTCTGTATTGTTGTTCCTCGAATCAGCAAAAACAATTGTTTTGCAACGTGTCTATTACCTTTAAACAGTAAAACTAAGAACGAAAGTGGAATCCATGTGTTCCTAAGATTTTTCATTTCTTAGAAGTTTTTGAGGAATTTGTATACACATACCTTTGATGAGCCCCTCCAGTCTGGAAACCACTGCCTTTATTTGGGCTCCGCTCATGCTGTTCACTGAAAAAAAAAAAAAAAAAAGGTTCAAGTTTTGGTACTATACTGGGAAGACTTTTTTGGCACTCCTCATGTGGTCACAGACTGCAAAAGTTGAGATGTGAAAAATAAGAGGACTAAAATTAATAGACTGACAACTGGGATATCAAATATAGGGGCATGTTTTTCTTCAGGAAGATCACTCTTTATAACACCTGGCCAGAGTTTGGAGTTTTTTCTTTAACTTTTGGCATTTGACGGCTTCAGAAATGACCCCGGAGCAAGTGATTTCCCAGAGCCAGAGACAAGGTCTAGGTTCGGAAAACCCCTCGGCCAACTCCTCCTACATCTCGCTCCCTCTACAGCTGTGTCTGAATTTCTTGGTAAAGGCTGACAGTGTATGTGGCTTCAACAGCTCATGTACAGTATGTGGTTTGACAGCCATAGCAATGTAATTTTAACACAGCCCAAATTGGGCATTTCAGGGTTTGCCGTAAGCCGTTTCACGGATACCGCCATCTTTGTGGTCACGTGGTAATCTCCGGGGGCATTTCACTAGAAATACGTACAATCATGCTGGGTTGTATCCTGAGCATGATTAGGCCCCACCCGTGACAACAACGATGCATGGCGGTATCTCTGAAACTGCTTATTGATGAGATGAATAGCCGTAGCCAAACAATGCCCATTTCACTCATTTGAGACATAGCAAAATACTTACATTGTTGCCTGTCCATTTTCTGTTTGTTGCTCCATCGCTGGCTCTCAAATCTCACGTCCTGCTTCACTTTCTCCTTTTCAGCATCAGGAACAGTCAGTGAGTCTGATTTTGATCCTTCGGAAAATTTGCTGTCATTATTATTGTCCGTCAATTCATGAACTTTGCTTTGTCTAATAGGACTTGTACTGTCTTGACGTGTGCTCTGCAGCGAAGCCTTTCTAGGTGACTTTGTTGGACTTTTCACGTTTCCAACATAAGGCACTGGGGTGTCAGTCTTTGGTTCAGGATTGCTGTCGACACTGATGGTCGGGCAAGATCCTGTTTTGCATCCCACGTTATCGTTGCTGTGCGACTTGGTGATGCTGCTCGTGCCGTAGAGATACCGGGAATAGCTCTTCCTCAGTTCAACAAAACTAGTATCCAGGCTGTTCTCACTATGCCGTCTCAAGAGGGCGTCCTCCGTCAGCGCCCTGAAGATGATGGGGCTGCTGGAGCGCGTGCAGGGGTTGCTGTGGACCTGCAGCAGGTTCTGCCGGTTTCTTAAGTCCTCGTTCTTAGCGTAATTGATGATCCACTGGAGCTTGTCCCCGATGGTGTCCTGCAGCCCGAGGGTGGGGAAATCACTTGGCACGCTGATGCCCCGCCGGTGGGGCAAGGGACTGTGCTGGTAGGGGCGCCGTCCAGCCTGCGCAAGGACCTGGTGTGATTTGGCAAGGCAACTTTCGTGAGCAGCTATCCCCGCATGTAACACGTCCGGCATCTTGTTGAACCCCTTTTGAACGGGTTGTCGTGTCGAACTCAGGTGGCACAGTTTGCATGACGATGCTAGCTGTTCACCCGTGTCCAGTCCACAGATGCCACATGACTCGCTGCTCTCTAGGCTGATCGACACAAAGCTGTCGTCTGCGTCTTCTTGTGTTGGTGGAGTTTGTGTTGTGACTGACATTTTTCTTTATATTGATGCACTGAAACCAGCAGCACAGCAACAGTGTAAATAACTCTACAAATAGAAAAGCAAACAAATTTACTGTTCAATGAGTCATCAGAATGTCACTGATCACGATTATGATGTCTTTAGTTCAATTAGATTCAAAATGGATGAAAACGTTTTTTAAATATGAAAAACACCACCGTGCATTTATATGTGGGTTGATTTTTTTTCAACAAAACATATCTGCACACAGAAACAAAATTTATTTTTTAAATATTTCCTTCAATTAACTTCTTTCGGAAGAATTCCAGACATACCGGTAGACATCCATATTTTTTCCCTGCAGTGACCTATCAGCCATCAGAAAGCGATAAAATACAATGTATCCTAAGAAATCAAATTTAGCAGGGAAAATAATATTGAAGCATTTACTGAGAAACCACTGGAAATTGTTCAGACCAGTCTCATAGGGTTTGTGCACAGTGTGTCAAGTGATGTCCAGGTATGGTACTCTTAGAACTACATGTATGATGCATCTAGTCCGAGTAATTTGGACCGAACTTATCGCCTTTTTTAACATTTGGACATGGTCTGGCGATAGTAAGGTCCAAGCTAATACCGAGACCTAGACAACACAGTCCCAAAAACCAACATTTTCCAACAAAAAACATCAGATTTCACCTTCAAAACGGCCTCCAAATTACTAGATATGTCACCTGAGGTACAAGTAGACATAGATGATTAAGATGGTTGTACTTAAGTTTACTTACGATCCGGAAAAAAAGTGAAATTTTCCGTTCAATTCTGAAGACCCCCTCTGCCTAGGTCATTGTAGGTTGTCGTTGTTGTGCTCACGTTCAAAACTGCATGATAATGGCGTCTGACCTCGACCTCATGCAAATGTCTGGACGGCGCGCTTGCGCATAATGCACTGCATGCACGGCAGATTCCCCTGCGCCGCGCCGACGACTGTTTCCTGATGTAGAGCGCCAGCCATGCGCCTGGCTAGCCAGCGCGACTCCTAGACGTACCGCCAACTTACACAGCACTCTACATCAGGAAACAGTCGTCGGCGCGGCGCAGGGGAATCTGCCGTGCATGCAGTGCATTATGCGCAAGCACGCCGTCACTACATTTGCATGAGGTCGAGGTCAGACGCCATTATCATGCAGTTTTGAACGTGAGCACAACAACGACAACCTAGGCAGAGGGGGTCTTCAGATTTGAACGGAAAATTTCACTTTTTTTCTGGATCGTAAGTAAACTTCAGTACAACCATCTTAATTATCGATGTCTACTTGTACCTCAGGTGGCATATCTAGTAATTTGGAGGCCGTTTTGAAGGTGAAATCTGATGTTTTTTGTTGGAAAATGTTGGTTTTTGGGACTATGTGGTCTAGGTCTCGGTATTAGCTTGGACCTTACTATCGCCAGACCATGTCCAAATGTTAAAAAAGGCGATAAGTTGGGTCCAAGTTACTCGGACTATGATGCATCATAGTCCTAGGAGTACAGGTATGGAACTCTTTCCAAATTTTGGAGTTAACATTTAGCTTTAAATATTTCTTTCAATTGACTTCTTTTCAACTATTTGGGCCTATAAATAGGCAGTCAACTCTGTAAGGTTCTGGATAAAAAAAACCTGAAAATAAATAATAATTTCACCATTACAATATAAAGTTACAATTCTAAGAAGTGATGTAATTTCAGTAAACTAGTGTCTGTGAGTGCATTGCAACATTCGTCTTCTAATCAGATTATTTCTAGCATGCAAAAACATACATCTTTTCCACTTCCATGCTAAGAAAGTAAGATTAGAAAGCATATTCATGATCACCCCACCTGTAAACGGTAAACACACGATAGAATGACAATGCCAGTAATTCGACAAGTACACATCGTCAAAAAGCATTTCGCACAATGAAGGGATTATGAGACGGGCATTCTCGCACGCACGCCACGTTCACACACTACACATGCAGTAGGCACGCAGTGAAAATTTAATCATGACAAAAATGTGGATTTTTTTCTCACTTTTAAACACCAAAATTTTACAGCATGACACTCACCAAACTGAGGAAAATCTACTCTTTCCGACCAGCTCAAGTTGTATCTTCAACACAACCGGAATTCATATTGAGAGTGGTTTTCAACGGGCCTTTGTTGTGCACGAATGCATACTTTCGTTTGGCGTCACGTCATGTGTCGTTGCGACCACAATGTTTTGGTGTTGATATCGACGGGAATATTTCTCAACGTGTAGTACATGACAGAGAAAATTGTAATTGTTGGACTTCTATGCACATGCTGATGAGACGTTTATTTGCTTTTTCATCTAGTAACGTGTGCTATGGTTTTAGTTCAACATTAAAATAGGTATATTATCCCCGAATTAACTGAAAACAATTCTGGTCGACCGTCGACCTATCTCTATATTGTGTCATGAACTATCTGATACAAAATAAGGCAGTGAGGTGACGTCACTGGGCGTGCTGTCAAAATCAATCCATTAGTCAGACAACAAAGCGACAGGTGCAACGTCATGAGGCACACACCGTGACAATACTGGGCGCGGGTTGTCCCAACCTTGTTTGGCATAAACAGTCCATGATAACATTGATACGTCATTAAGTGAGGCTCTTCTGTGGAAAAGTTCAATAGTTTCCGGGACGGTGTTCCGGCGGGATGGGTTAGGCTTGTTATGTGGAAGCCGGTCTATACTAGCCGGATACTACAACCCCATTCCTCCCAAGTTTAGCAACTTTTTCAAAGATGTGCCAATTAATCCCCACTAATGTAGGCTATGTAGGTTGCAATCCTTCGTATTGCGTGATTAAACTGTCGATACACAGTAAAGGAAAATAATAAACAAAATTAGGTGGCGGCAACATCAGCGGGGAAAAAAAACAGGCAGGTAGGTTCATTCTCCGTACGTGATCATCCCAAAGTTTTGATGGGAATAGTTTCGAATCGTGTTGATATGGCCTAAACATTAATGTCTTTGAAAAAAAAAGTGGTAAAAAAGGGCATGTATACGCTGATATGGGGGAGGTGATGGAATTGTTTATTTACACACTATGATACAACGCATGCAATGATATGATAACTGAGACTTTGACACGGAACTTGATGGACACAAGGCAGTAGGTATTAAAACATACAGTGCACACACAAATCATGACACACGCGTGGGGTGAAGAATATGCACAATGAAAATTTATTCTTTTAAAAATTAAGGACAGAAATCAATCACCATATTATCGAAACCATAGAATGCTGCATAATAAATATTTTCAAGACAATAGAGGGCGCCATTCCAGGTGGAGTCGTTCTGCACGGGCACGGTTTACGCCGGTATCATAAAATACAGTGATTGCTCATTGTAAAAAGCGCGCCGGATAGTCATCCGCAATTTAGGCTACACATCTGAACTCAGATTGGTAATAATTCTCACATTTTCAGATGAACTGGAAAACCTTGGTAAATATGATTCAAGAAATACTTATTTTCCATTTTGTTGCGGAAAATACTTTGAAAATGGCACTCGACTCTCCATAGACTTTGTACACAACCAAAGAAGTGGCGTCTGCATATTCTTTCCAAATATCTCATTTTGAAGATTTGGCAACTGCACTGGAACTGATGGTCACAGTTTCCGCATTTTTTTTTTTTTTTTGCGTAGTACATGTAGTCATTACTTTTACTGTCAATGTCGTGAAATGTATGATGCCAGAGTATTAAAACAACGTCTGCAGGACTGACACAACTCTTAACTCAATTCAGCCAATCAAACCGTGACATTCCATCGGAGCTTCCCTGTATTTAAGTAAACACCACTTCCTGATTCACACGCGCGTGTTTACATGTTGAAGTCCCGGGTGTCTAAAATTCGATCATCCTGTCCGCCATAAAATTCCCTCCGTAAATTCTGCTGAGGAGACCGACGGTGGAGTAATCACATCGAGACATGCAAGATGGCGAGTGCGGCGGGAATTATCAACCATCGGCGGACCATTCGCCAGGCCAGTCTCAAGTCGGCTGCCAGCGCATCGGACATCTTGATGAGCATGGGATTTCCCAAGCACAGAGTGTACGTATAAATCATGGAGGAATAAGGGCTCCATTAACGGGTAACCGTGATCGTGTTTTAGTATAGGATTAGGAGTATGACACCTCGGTTCTTATCCTACATGTCCTAAAACTCCGGGATCGGGAGCCCCAGAGTTCGGGTACTCGCTACGGGAATATTCCCATGGCCATCACTAATTATTCCCTTGTTGAGTTTCATCAGCCATCACTCAGAAAGTGATAACTGGATAAGGCCCCCCCCCCCCAAAGTTCTACTTCCGTCTTCCGATTGTCGGTAATCCTTACTTTTAGGACCCCGTTCCTATAGAAGGGAAAGACTCACCAAATCAGTTGACTAAATGACTCTCAAAATTGACATTCTGATACTTCTTGGCACATCTGAACAATTAGTGACACCTTGAATATCACTCAGCAGAATTTTGTGGAAAGAGGGCAGGGCTTTGATTTATGAGGGAAATTAAGGGGTAAAGACGACGGTGACAACCAGAAAACTGACTCAAAAACCAAGATGGCAAACATGAAAGCTCGATGCAAATGAAAGCTTGATGCTGATTGGCTGATAAAAAAATAAACATCTTATTTATTTTTTTTAGCAGCCAATCAGCATCAAGCTTTCATTATGTTGGGCTTTCACTCGTGTTGTGAGAACTACAACATGCACCTGACTGCAAACAAAGGTAGGAAAGTCACATTTCCTTTGAAAGTGCTTTCAAAATTACAACTACATGTAACATGAGTTTATATGGAAAAAAAAAGACTGCTTTAGCCTTTAGCCTGCAAAAATCACTTTGGTACTGGACAGTCATCTGCAAAAGTCAGTTTTGAATAGAACTCGTAAAAAATAGAGGTGTAAAAGATAAGGATTACCCGATTGTCCTACACATGGCATTCGAAAAAAGGAAAGGAAGGTTGTGATTTTTTTGGGGGCCAATCTGTTTGTGTACGATCATATGGAGACGTCTGTGTGTAGTCAATTTATGGTGTTGGGCATGTTGGGTGTTTTTTTCCTAATTTCCCCCCCCCCCAAAAAAAAAAAATTCAGGTAGGGGCTGTCAGAATAGGGACTAGGACTTAGGAGGGGAAACCGGAATCAAAACTATTATTTTTTTGTTGCCTAATTTATGTCCTAAAAGTAAAATTTAGCAGGGAAAATATTGAAGCAAAAACTCCTGAGAAAACACTTTTTTCAGACCAGTCTACATGTAGTAATAGGGTTTGTGCACAGGGTGACAAGTGATGTCCAGGTATGGAAATCTTTCCCTCGCGACTAATGTTTTACAAGGTTCCCACTTAATCCTGTATTTCACTTGAGACCTACGATTTGTACATGTAGGCCTACCAATTCATACTTTGCCAGTTCAGGAAGTTGTAATGTTTGTGAAATGTTGATTCTCTTTTATTAATTAAAAAAGATTTGTTTCAGATTTGTTCTTAAATGCACCAGTGATAAAGTCAAATTTTTTGGGGGGCCTGAAACGGGCCTCCGAACCCCACAGTACCACACTGTGGCTTCGCAAGTTGTACATTCCCCCCACAGGTTTGAAAAAATCCTGGGGAGAACCTAGTCCGAAAATTTGGGACTCTCAATACTGTGTATGAGAGTCCCAAAACTTAAGGTATTGAAAACATGCAAAACAAGAAAATAGACTGGCACCTAAAACAACCAGTCCAACACAGCTTCAGTACTGCATCAATCAACCATGCCAAAAGAATTTAAGAAACATGTGGCATGAAGCGGGAACTAGTCTCAATTTACTACACATTTCTCCGTAGTCAAGCCACCAGACTATTGACACTGAATGAAGAGGTCAGCCTTTTCAAATAGTTGGACCATGGCATGGTTGGACATGTACCAGTCTAGTCTTTAGCCCCATTTTGAAATCAGTTGACTTCCCTCTCATGTGTAAAATATTGAAGAAATGTCTCCTTTAGAAATTGAATTTGGTCTGCAAACTTGGTTGGTGAAATACTGAGGACATTTTCTTTGCCCCAGTGGAATTTTTGGAGAAATTTGCTGGCTAAACTTGGAGTAAAGCTAGTGGGCCTGATTTAGTTTTGCACGTTTCAGAGCACTCCAGAGCCCTGTCTGGGGAGAACCCTGATGAACACGTGCCGCACGTACCCATATAGTTTTATGGTTTTACTTCCTGTTCTGGTTTCTATACATTGTACATGTACATGTGCTTAAATGATTGTTAAATAGGATGTTGACAGGTCATTGAAACTACAACATTTGTGTACGTGCACGTTACATAAATGCCATAAATTTAACTTCATATTCACAGAGGACTTTGTAAAGAAATTGTAAACTGCAGGGTGTCCCAAACAACATGACCCTCTCAGGGTTGAAGCAGAATTTGAAAAAATGAAATGTTATTTCTACTTTTCTTACATAATTGTGAAGCATGTACTACATTTTAATCTTCTGTAAAATCTCAGTCGGATTCAGTTCACTGGTTTTCCAAATAAAGGTTATATTACAAATTCTGTAACATAGTTACTATTTTGCACCATTCCAAGTTTAGGATTTGGCTTAAGGCCAAACAAAATGTCTGAAAAATCTCATGGCTGTGTAAAACTAATTATAATGTAGCGAAATTATGGTCCGAAGTTAGGACGCCCTCTTTAAGTTGGTTTATTCATGAATGCCGTGACGTATGCATACCGCGCGGCTATATAAGCAGTGCGCGGTGGCGGGAAAGTCACTCTGTGGCGGGAAACAGTTCGAGGCAGTCAAAGTCCTGTGAGTAGTTCTGTACCTTCCGTCGTTGTCCCGTCTGTCGTAGTTACTGCAGAGTCCGCACAGAGTCACGTCCGTTGAAGTCCCATTAGAGTCACGTCCAGTTTACTGTTAGCCTTGTGAGTAGTTCAGTGTAGTCCAGTGCACCCTTTTCTTGGAGTAAATAGACCAAGTCACCGCAGATATTTAAGCTCTCCCAATTGGCCAGGAATTGTGTCTACTCAGTGTGTTACCCTGTTTAGGTGATCATAGGCGCCACTAAAGTAATCCTACCAAGGTGATCTTTGTTTTAAATAAATCATTACTCCAATTACACATCGAGTTTGAGTGCTGTTTTGTAGAAACATCAGACCCCAGTCCCATCCCATTCCCCTGTGTCCGCCCAAGTACAACCCCAGTGTGTGGAAGGAAGCAGCTGCGAGCGCCTGGCGGTAGACTGCCCCAAAACGGACCTGTTCTCCTTCCCTACAACCGCTCGTCGGGTCGGCAGAGGGCAATCCCAGGCTACGTCGACACAGGCCGCCACAATAATCTGAATGTGCATCAAGCCATGGCCTCTTGACATGAGTGTCATCAGGTGGGGGAGGCAATACATTTGAGTGTCCCTCCCATTCAGTGGTCTCCCCAACTATCCGTTTGTAAAATTAACGCCCGCTTAAAAATGGCTCTAGGACAATTCCACGGTAACGGAAGGACATTTTCACTCATTAAACAAAAATTCAAATGTATGTATCACAGACACTGTTCATAGTTACAGCAAACAAATGTCGAAATTGTATTGCTATAATGCTACTTTCATTTTCCACACTTTTGGGGGGCATGAATGCCTCCCGTTTATGAATTATGAATATTAATGAGGTCGGTAACGGAAGGACAGTAAAACGGACAAGTGTTTTCCAACTTACTCGCGTTTTGCGTAAACTCTGTGAATTTTATGGGGCAATTATATTTTAAAGGTAAGAAATGGAATCCCTGAAGCTTTATCCATACTATACCGCCTTTCATTTGACTTGAAGTGTTTCGGTAATATAATTACAACGTTTTAAGCAGATTATGATTTGGTAACGGAAGGACGGTAACGGAAGGACAAAAGGTTTACTCAATTATAGCATGAACAAAATGTGAATTTACACTAATTATACAAGTGAAACAAATTGCTGAAATGTGTAACTGAATGTGAAATCAACAATATTCAGACCTGGCATAAATAATTATACCCAAGAAACTATTCAGATAAAGGTAGAAGCCTGTTAATTAATGATAACAAAAGAAAAACGAAAACTACCCAAAACACATAATTCACGAACACAAGACAACTACAGAAATAGACTTCAAACCCATCACCTCAATCCTTAAAAGTTTAAATACACAGTTTTTGAGCACTTGAGTATATTGGTTACATGTTCACCAACAACTTTTAATAATAATACCGGTAGGTTCAGTGGTTTACCTAAAGGGGGGGGGGGGGGACCATCCTACATGTACATTTAAGGTAAAAACATCTACCGGTAGAACTGATGGCTTCAGTTAGGTGTTGCTTTTAATTGAACTCTAAAATCAATGTTTGAAATCAAATTACAATGATTTAGAGTAGTAACAATTAATTTATAAACATCCAAACTGAAATTGTTAACTTAATTGGGCATAATTTGTCAAAGATTGCACCTCACATGTCTTACACATGTAAATTGAATGAAAGTGCCCCAAAGTACCGGTACTTTCTGCCATCTCATTTTTGACTTAATTTGCTTCTGGAATGGCTTCACAGAATTCGTATCTTTCTCTATTGTCCATGAATGCTGATGGCAGCAACTTTATGATTTGATTTTCTGCAACAACTCCATACATGTACAAGTACTGGTACATCAGCATATATGTACATGTACATTGTACATGTTGTACATGCCTGTGCCTTCCTTTGTAATAAACACCTTGCCCTGCTTATCCCGCTTTTGTGAAGGTGGGTCACATGAATGTCCTTTCAATGCTCATTATACATGCATGTATTTCCAGTGATTTTCATTTTTCAAACATGGGCGCAAATGTCGTAACATTTGATAAAAATACGATTTGTCCTTCCGTTACCGTCCTTCCGTTACCAATTTGGTAACGGAAGGACGTGATTTAATTAATTGTAATTAAAAAACGAGAAGTACAGCAGTGTCAGTTATAATGTCATATTGAAGGCCTACCTAAACTTGCTTTACACAATAACTTTCGATGCATTCATACTGCAAGTTTTAAAAATAAATTAAAAATATGTATTTTTTCGGTAACGGAAGGACATTTGCGAAAGGCTGAAATATTAGAAGTCACTGAAGCGAAGCAAATTACGCAAAATGTTAAAAACAAGTTTTAGTAGGTTTTTCAAGACCAATACTTTCTCATGATAGAAACTGATGGCATTAGTCGTATTTTTGTGTGTGTTTTGGTAGAATACTTTCATATCACTATTTATCACATTTTTAGGATTAAAACAGGATTATTACATAATCCTATTTTTTGGTACCGAAATGTATAAAAAATAAAATTCTGACTTCAAATCTTGAAAATATAGACTTTTAGCTTTCATTTGATGCCAAATTTGTTTAAGTCACATGTATTTGATTTTTTTGGTGTCATGTCCACTTTGGTGTGGAATTGCCCTCTATGGTACAACCAACATTTTTACCATCTACAGTATGGAGATCTATACAAAGTATATCTACAGTTCAGTTCAGTTCAGTTCAGTTCATTTAATATTTCCACAGTTTTAACAAATAAATTCATGTATTTATAACAATTAACGTGTGAATAAATCATAGAACGAGGGTCCCAAAAGAAGCATACATGTACATGTACATGTGGCTTGTAAAAAATGTTTCATTGTTCCTCAGATAATTGTCAGTGTAACATGGGGTAGGGCGTAGGTTACGGTGGTGCTGATGCCATCAGACTGAGAACAAACTGAATGGTTAGTGTGGCATTGACCCCAACACTGAACAATAGGCCTACATGTACATGATGTGTCAACCTTAAAAAAGAAACTTGGGCATTCAACCATATACATGTATAACAATGTACATGATGATGCAGGTACTGTGCCTGCCTTATCTACCATGTCCACAGTTGAGGAAGTACATGTTTGTGTACTCGTGCATGTGTACATGAACCGGTACTTGTGATGTACAAATCGTTGTGTCAGTGCAACAAGGTCGTAACTCTTCTCTGCAACAAAGTCGTATTTCGCTCGAATGCTCCGTGCAACGAGGTCGTATCTCGACGTCCATTGACTTTGTGTGTACATCCAGGTTATTTTGAGTGAGCTACCGGTACAACCTTTTGACATTCTACTCGCTTTTCATGTATGGCCCATTTTAGGAGATACGACCTTGTTGCACGGACACGACGAAATGATGTACACGTACATTGATCATTCCATAAATTTGGGGTCCAAAAGTGTAACATTTTTTGTGTGTCCATATTACACCTGACCTGTGCAATTTGCGATTCAAGTAATTAAAATTGACTTCCAACTTCATGTAATTTTTATTTAGGCCTATTTGTTGCTTGTTAGGTATCACTCTTGGAGAAGGTACCGGTATTAAAAATTGTCCTAAATTTACAAAATCTTATATGAGATGTACTAATAGGGACACACAAAATGTGGATCCCAAGTTTATGGAATGACCCATACACACTGTAAACGTATATGAAAAAAAGATTATTGTGTAAAAATATAGAATATGCCTTTTAAGTTTCAAATTACTATTTAAATGAGTAGTCAGTCAGTCAGTCAGTCAGTCAGTCAGTGAGAAAGGTAAGGTACTGTACAAAGAGGACTCTAGGTACTAGGCTGGCCCTCTGGGACCGTCACAAATGTTTGGTTTCGTTCATCTTAAATGTGCGCAATTGCTGTACCAGTTTTACATAGGCCTAAATGTTGAAAATGACACTACAGATACATCGTCAATAAGGCAGAACACATGAGCTCAAGTCTGTGGTGTACAGGGGGAGTTCATAAATTTTTCAGCCCCCATCATTCAACACTTTAACTTGATTCCCCTGCGTGTACACCCTGGTCTTCTCTTGTCGGGTATCCATTTCTTCACATGTGTACTATTTACATTTGTACCTCCATCCCATGTTAAAAAAAGAACTGTTGACAAATGAAAGACATCCCTTCTGTGTTAAAGGGAATATACAACATTTGCAAACAATGAAAAACAAAACTAACACATTTTTACAAAATACATTGTACCTTACTAGGATTATGATAAATGACAGTCTCAGACTCAAGCATCCTGTAAAATTATGTCACCTGGTGTAAAGTCATTTTCAAGAAAAGTGGTATTTTGTTTAAATTTCCAACAGTCATGATAGTGGTCGGCCGACCACCATTGGAAAAACCTAACTATTTTCCAACTACTGCTTCAAATTTACCATTTTTTCAGTCCGAATTTTCTTTGCTTATTGGTTACATGTTCATGTATGGGTGCAGGCCAGCTAGACTGGGTCCCTTACCTTACAATTTTCCGGCATCTATAAATTGATCCATTTAATCCTTAGTGGAGTCAGGGAATCAGACTACTTGAACATTTCAGTTTTCCAGCATTTTTGAACACAAAACTTCAAACATGTCATTGTAACAATATGTGATCTATTATACTAACCCCTCAAATAGTTCATTTCTGAAAATTACAGCAAAAGCCAATGATGTACAGTCCCTTTAAAGATTGGTTTTCATGAGGTACCAGTACAGGTATAGGCCTACTAGTCATTCCATACATGTACATAATTCCTGGGATAATAGAACCAGCACCCGATTTCACGAAGCACTGCGACGCGTCGCAACTCGAGTTACGACGTGTAACACGTCGCAACTTGAAAGTTGCGAAGTGTTGAACGCGTCGTAAGTTTCTTGACAACGGCTTAAAACACGTCGCAAGTTAAGACGTGTCTATTGGTCATCGCAAAATAAGAAGAGTCATTTCTAAGCCAGTTTTATGCCACAAGCATTACATTAACGAGATTATAATACTGAGGCAATGTGTGTTAAGTTGTAAATAGAAAATTCATTGAATAATTATGAATTAGACCGGAATATTAGAGTTGAAATTTCAAAGAAGCTACATGTATACAGTCCAATGAGAGCTTGTTTTTCTTCAAAATTGCATCGCACGGCCGCCATTTTGTTTTACGTTTTAACAAATTTCGAGCTGAGATCCGACGACTCTTTGTTGAATATCAGACGACTATTTACTGTACGCTGACTAAAGACATAAAACAGTCACCGAGTTGTGCTATAAATACACCTATGACGCGTCGCACTTACGACGTGTTTAGTGAAATGGATCGCATGACGCGTCGCAGCTGCGACGCATCGTAGAGATACGACGCGTCGCAGCGCTGCGATGCATCGTAAGTTACGAAGAGTTTGATGAAATCGGGTGCTAGCAAAACTTGGATTTTTATTTCTGCTTCAATATAATGTTGAAAAAAACCCCCCCCCCAAAAAAAAAATATAAAAAAAATAAATAAATACAACTGATGCTGTCACTCACAAGTCCCAGTATAACAATTCCAATAAACTGTGACAAAAAACATTCGTTTGTCATTATTTGTCTCCCGTTACCATTCACTTTTTGTGACTTGACTTGTGATCAACTTACCGGTACCTGTAGTGATCAGGCTAAAATTCTGCTTCCGATTACATGGCATTTGAAAATTGGGTAGGTAGGTAGGGAAATTTCTTTTTTGGCCAATTTTTTTGGTGTACGATCATATGGAGGCGTCTGCGTGTAGTCAAGGGTAAAAGGTAGAAATTGATGGTTTTGGGTGTTTTTTTTCTCATTTTCCCCATAAAAAAATGATGGCATGGGCTGTTAGAATAGGGTAGGTAGGGAAACCAGAAGCATAACTATTATGTGTGTGTGAACCATTACACGCAGGCCTTCCCATCCTCTGATGAGCTCTTGAAAGTGGTCAAAAAGCATACTGTTCATGATGCACTGAGTCGATATCGATTTAAAGTGATTGTACAGTCAGTCTTCTTTAGTGGATTCTTTGAAGGCGTTTGGGAAAAATTAAGATCACTATATATACTGACTTGTCATCTTCTTCTTTTTTCTTTTCATTGATAGAGAGAAATCTTTGGCAGCTACAGGTCATCAGGATATCCAACTAGCGTCAGACTGGTAAGTTATCCTACATGATTCTACTTTTTTTATATACCATGTACATGAAAATGTACTGTATACCGCTTTATACAATGTACATGTATGCGACTCATCCTACATTGTCCTATGTTAAAAGATCCTACGCTGTCAGTGTGTAACATTTTTTTTATGTAAAATTCCTAAGGAGTGTGCAGAAGCAAAAAATGCAAGGGTTAACCCTAACCGCCCTGAATCCTTCAAAATCCTCTTTGCCAAAGTGAAGGAATTTGGAGGATTGAGGTTACATTGCAAAAGTGTGTGACTGATTTCATAGGATGCACTTTGTCAAGGTCTTGGGCCAGACCTTTTGTGTTGTTTTTGCTCAGCCATGCATAAACATACCGGCCTGGATTATGCTTGAAATCCTCCGTACTGCTCCAGGATGTCAATGGCCAAGCCTCAACATAAATTGACAGTCACTGCCGCAGGATTTTGCAGGATTCAGGTAGTGGTCACCCCTCCATGGACCAAATTGAAGAAGTAATGGAGGAATTCGCAGGATTGAGGCTATATGCTATTTTTCCATGAGGCCAATTGGAGGATTTTGCAGTATTGAGGCTACCAGCAAAAAGGCCTAGGGAGTTAGGGTTTATAATAATGGAGAGGCATCCAGTGTACAATGTACTAAAATACATGCAGGTCTTATGCTCCGATTTCGCTCTCCTCTGTAGTCGCGGTTGGCACGTGAAAAAAACGATTGATGTGTTTTGTTTTGCTTTTTTGGCAATTTTTTTTCTATTACACTTTGAACATGTTAAATAGTGCAACATTATCCCTATGAAAACACTCCAAAACGTATCGCTATTATGCAACACGTAACGTTGATGATGAAAAAGGTGGCAATATTCATTCACCAAGGTTTACCACGCCCACTAGGGTTTCAACATGCAAATTGAGGTCAACTTTGTAGTTTTAATTTCATACTTAATGTCTGGCAATTTTTGTTTATACAGCTTGTTCGTATTGCACAGGTCATTAGAAGTTTCCTTGCAATTGATCATGAACCATACATGTATGCAACGTTTACAATGTGTTTGCACAGTTTTGGTTTTGAAACATTGTTTCATGGTCAGTTGTGGTTTCAATACCGGAACAATATAAACATCACTTCAATGTTAATTAATTGGATCAAGACCAATGTGCCTGTAAGAACCGAAAGCAGAAAGCGTTCCTTGCAATTGCATTTTAGATCTGTCTATTGTGATTGTACTGATATCATGTATACGTGTAGTCCCAACTGTGAAAGAGGAAACACCAACGTCCTGTGCAAATTAAAGGTACATTGTAGACCACTTCCCCCATTTGCCACTAGTAACAGGTCACACTATATCCTGTATTATCAATAAATGTATGCATAAATGTATATAGTGTGAAACAAAACAAGGAAAAATGATAACCAGTAAATTTTTAGCTGATTTTTCCCGACGGTTATAATTTCCACAATAACTTTCAGTTCGAAACCTGTTCTACACGTACATGTACTCACACTATATCCTGTATTATCAATAAATGTATACATAAAAACATGTATATAGTGTGACAAAAAACAAGGAAAAATGATAACCAGTAGGCCTAAATGTTTATAATTTCCACAATAACTTACAGTTCGAAACCTGTTCTACACGTACTTGTAAATCTAAGGATAGAACAAAAGCATGCCAAAAGAAAACAATGTTTGCCACCTCTTACTGGTAAGTGAAGCCAATGGCCACTGGCCTATTTGGCCAACCAGTGCCAATGTATTGGCCAACTTGTGACCATGTATTGGCCAACTTGTGACCATGTATTGGCCAACTTGTGACCATGTATTGGCCAACTTGTGACCATGTATTGGCCAACTTGTGACCATGTATTGGCCAACTTGTGACCATGTATTGGCCAACTTGTGACCATGTATTGGCCAACTTGTGACCAGCTGTACATTTTATACCTTTCCATTGCGGCCAATTCTAATCAAGCCAGTGGTCGACAATTAGTTACACTTACAATTTAATGGGAATAAGTATTAGGCTTCATAAGCCTTTATGACCCCATACCATGCATACCTCTTCCAGTACTCATCGAGCTCATGTTAGAAAGAATTTGTAGTCTTGGCATTCACAACACAACTTGGTATATGTAGATCGTTCCAGGTGTTGACTACTCTGTGGGAGAAAAAATCTTGCCTGCATCTCAGAGCTGTGTTCATCCCAGTCTTAAAGATCTTCATGTTGTGTCCTCTTGTTTCTGTTGTGTTGGAGATTTTGAAGAATCTTGTTGGTTGTGTTTTGTCAAATCCGTTGAAAATCTTGAACACTTCTATAAGGTCATTTCTTGGTCTCCTTTGTTGTAGGCTTTACAAGTCGAGTGCCTCTAGCCTGTATGGATAGCTAAGATGTCTTACAGCAGGAACCAGTTTGGTTGCTCTTCTTTGCACTTTCTCCAATGTGTAGATATCTTGCTTTCATTTACTTCATTCCTTTCTCTGTAATATCTTTCTCAGGCTGCTTGACCATGTTGACGACCCTACGCTTGACGAGGCTATCCCTCGGGAGTACGTCCTCTACGCCTGTCCCGTCGGACCCTTAGGCGAATCCTTGGATGAGTTCTGGACCAAATCCCTGCAGCATTGTGGCAGGAACGGAGCCCACAGCCTGCTACCACATGTCACGCTGTGCTCATTTTTCCCCGTAAGTAAACATCTCTCATTTCCCTGATAACCTTGGTCGGGTCCAAAACTGGATTGGATTTTCGTTTTAACGAAGGATGGTTGGACTACGTGGAATTGGAGCATGCAGCACGGTTGCATCTCTGGTCACCAATAGCTGCACGCATCCAGTGGCGCACCAAGGATTTGGGGTTTGGGGGGGGGGGGGGGCTCACAAATTTTTTTTCAAATTTTTTTGAAGTAAATTTTGCCCAAAATTTTTGGCCGCAGAAAAGAATTTGTTTTTTTGGGGGTGGGGGGGGGGGGGGGACAAACTATTTTGATGTTGGTGGCGCCACTTACACCCCATTATACTACTTGAAAATAGGCCACATACAAATCACCAAGGTCAAATCGTGGGACTAAAATAAAATTAAAATAAACAACCTCTTGGGGGGGGGGGGACTCAAGCCCCCCGAGGCACCCCTCCCCCCCCCCCCCCCCCCCCCCTTGGGTGTGCCACTGCGCGCATCATGAAGCAAAGTAGGGAACCAGTAGCTTTGTACATTGTACATCATTTTACTAGAGGCGTTCACGTGATGCTGTGATTGTGCAGGTGTAAGTTATGTCACAAATCAACCACTAGTCGATACTAATGGTTGTCACACATGCCTGGGACTGGCTTCGTATTAGAAACACAATCCTCGTTCGATCTTGGACCAACACAATCCTAAATGCTCCAATGCCTTAACCCTAACCCTGCCAGATGCAACACAGGGCATCAGGTGGAAAAGAACTGGTGCACTTTGATGTATTCAGCTACCAACACCAGTGCATGAATGGCCAGCTCTGAAACAATGAGAGCTAGTCCCATTGAACAATGCCACAGTTGTATTCTGCTGCGTGCAGTGCATGACCACAAACTCTGAGGCAGTGTGGCCATGAGACTTTTCCCCTGATGGATCCTGCTACATTTGGCAGGCTTAACTTAGTCAAGTATTGCATGTTGCCACATTTGGTAGGGTTCTAGCAAACATATCCTGGAGGGTTAGGGATATACATGTAGCAAATTGTTTAAAGGATCTTTTCGAAAGGATTTGGTTAAATCATGTACCACCTTCTCTTTGTATGCCACGTTCAAGTGTGACGACAGCAAGGTGGAGATGCTGACCGCAGCCTTGCAGGAGGCCGTAGAGACCCTGGAAGACAAAGCCCCAGAGACCATCAGCCTGGAGCATTACTCCTCCAACAACTTCATCGGTCTGTTCGTGGAGGAGACTCATGCTGAATTCATGCGGATCCTGACCAACCAATTCAAAGCTGAGGCACTGGTCAAAGCAGGTAAATACCGTAGAGCTTATATTACATTAGCCTTCCTATGGAAACATGCATTGTCAGCCTGGTTATTACTTGGGTCAATATTGGTCAAGACCCCCATTGGTTTGTACCCAAAATGCCAGGAGGTGAGAGAAAACATTTTGACCGTTGGTGACCTCTTAAATAGTAGGAGGGTTAATAGAGCCTTAACTGACTGTACAAAGTGAAGCCTGCTGGGCGCATTCATGTTTGTGCACAAATCTATGGAAAACTTGGAATGTAGTACGGCTTTAGTACAGCTATATTTGCATATCTGGGTTTGTATTTCACACTGGTGCTGGTACGTTCTCAAAGCTGATAAGCCCAAAACCAAAACTCACAATCAGTAAATGGGCGTTTCATTTTGCTCTGCGCGAACAACGCAAACGTGTGCATCATACTCATAGAAAACGCTCTTACGTTGTTCGCGTATGTACAAGTGCGCGTTGCATTTAGAGTACATTATTCGAAATCATTCCATCTAATGTCACTATGTTCTACAAACACGCACATACGGTAAATTCAACATGCCTGCGCTCAGGATGGCTTCAAAGTATCTCCACGGGGCAATGGGGAGTTTTCGCTCTAAATATTTATATACTCAGGTTGCAACAAATTGGTGACTGATACGTTCCTGCAGTCGTAGCTCAGGTGCAGCCTGATCCTGAAAAGTCAGTCACCAAGTGTTCTGCGCCATCGCAAGGTTGACCTAAGGGCGGCCTAAAGCACAGTGTTTAAATACACAAATGTGTACTGAACACTTTGCAACAGTATTCGAACCATGTAATGGGCAAACACCTGTGAGTAAATTTCTTCAGATTAGGGACCATGCAGTGGCGAATCTAGTCTGAGTATCACCCGTTATCCACGGAGCCCAGTCTCCTGTCTAATGTCTGATATATCAAAGCATGCGTGACTTCATTTCATTCCGAAATCAGGACTAAGATTGTGATTGGTCAATTTCAATGCCGTGTTTTTGTAATACAACAACCTGTACAAAAATGCGACTCATCGTGGGCGTGATGTTTTCGCACACGGGGATTGGAGCTCGAATTACGCACGTATAGAAGGCGCCTGCTGATTGGTCAGTTTCTCGAGGTCATACGCACTATAGTTGCATAATAAATAGCCAAATCTGTTTATGTATAATAGGCCATGGTCGGCTTCGCCAGGGTCAGGGTCTATTACATAGACTATGGCGAATCCAGGTTCATTGAAATACAGAAATACAATGGAAAACGCTGGGGCCAGACCCCTTTGTGTCATTAGTAGTCCTGTATTTTAACCCTAACCATCCCAAATCCTCCACTCCTTTTTGCAAATTGGAGGAATTTGCAGGATTGAGGTTACATGGCAAACATGCATTGCTGATTTCGGAGTACGCACTGTGTCCAAGGGCGGATCCAGGGGGGCCAAAGGGGGCCATGGCCCCCCCCCCCCCAAAACGAAAGCAATTTTTTTATTTTTTTTATGTGACATCGCAATTAAGGCAGGCAATGAGTACACCACCATCTTTTCCTCAAAAAAACATTGGTTAAAGTGGTCAGAAATTGCCTCAGATCGCACCACAGAGCATCTAGAATCCAAAAAAATTTCGGGGCCCTTAAGCGGGCCCCGAACCCCACGCCGTAATTTTTTTTGACCCACTTTTTTGGGGGACCAAATTTTTTGGGCCCTCCCAAAAATTGTGTTCTGGATCCGCCCTTGACTGTGTCAAGGTCTTGGGCCGGACCTTGTGTTGTTTATGCTAAGTTGTGCATAAATTTAGTCCTTGATTATACTTGAAATCCTCCGTACTGCTCCAGGACGTCACTGTCTCCGCCTCAGCCTATTGACAGTCATAGCCGGAGGATTTTGCAGGATTCAGGCAGTGGTCCACCCCTCCATGGACCATATTCAAGAAATAACGGAGGAATTTGCAGGAGTGAGGCTATATATGCTATTTTTCCATGAGGCCAATTGGAGGATTGTGCAGGATTGAGGCTACATCATAGCAAAAAGGCCTAGGGAGTTAGGGTTAATAAACCTAGATTGGCCATTGACAAGGTGACATTTTACTTACAATTGTCTTTGATGCTGGTTTTCAGGCGTGAAGGTGGACCCTCATAAGAAGCAGCTGCACATGACCCTAGCCTATCAGTTCAACGCCGCGCACCACGACGTCCTGGAGAAACTATCCAAGGAGGTTAACATTGAGGCTGCGGCTCGCTGGGAACTCAGGCTGTATTCCAGAGATCCCCGGGCGGCTAAAACAGAGGTACTGGCTATGGCAAGGTTGACGGATGTTGGGGGGAGGGGGGGGGGGGAAGGTAGAGGGAGACATAGTGGGGCAGCTACCTTACTGATCACAACATGTGTATACTGACTGGATAGCGCATGCCTAAATACCGTACATTAACTTTTGTCAGTTTTTGGCCAGTTTGACCAGGTCGTCCAAATATGACCGCCGCCATATGAATGAATGTTCTATGCGTAACAGTAAAGTAAAGTCAGTTTTTCCACTTTTGAAGCTATTTTGTTCACAACCAAAATACACAGTGAGAATCATATGTAGCACAATATGTGACGGAGGGACCCCCCCCCCCCCTCTTTTATGTTGGTCATTGTGTTACCGGAATCTCAGGTCACATAGTATGATGTTCTAAAAAGGACATATTTCCGCCGTGATTATATATTCCAAACATTGTAAAAGGTTAACTGCGACATGATTTGAAAAGTGGTTGACTAGTGATTGACTCATGTTTGACTTGTGAAATAGCTCTGTGAAGCATGTCATTTTCCCCCATTTTTTCCCCACCCGTTTATCAGGTCCTGCGAGTCCTGTACTCCCACACACCGCGAGCCAACGATGAGCTAGAACTCATCCCCGACGACTACATCTTCATGTCCAGCTCAGACAACCGGGGCGCTAACGACGATGGCTGGTACAAGGGAACCTCTCATCAGACGGGACTGACGGGAATGCTCCCTGGGAACTACACGGAGAAGGCACCGGAGTCTGATACGTGGACTGTGCATAGGTAAAGGGGCATATGAATTCCATCAAGGGTAGTGACATGCTTGAGAGCTTGGTAGATCCACTGGACTACTGGACTGAGTCAACGGATTCAAGTGCCAGTTAGGTGCTTTCTACATGTAGGACCAAACTAGACCAGTGGGCTAGTTGCTGGTTTCATTACTGACCATTGCTCCATTATGGGCTGCTTGCACAAGTACCCCCTCAATGGTAAGGAAGGGAGAGTTGGGGAAGACCACTAGGAGTGACATTCGAACGCATTGGTGACAACGCCTGACGCTCACGCAAAGACGCTATGGCTTTTGTGCATATTCACAATAAAATTAGTCATGCGTACTTTGGGCCATACGTGCACGAACCAGTACGCGACTTGGTGTTGCCTTTCATTGGAGCTCTCAAAGGTGGTCAAAAAGCGCCCTCTGTTGATCGCGCAGGGGGCCCATAAGTCTCATTTGGCTGATTCTGATCCTTATCTTTATGAACCTGTCCTCTGTTCATTATTGCAACTTTTCCATATCACTGTTTATGACAATGAACAGGGAAATTCTTGCACATATCTTGGTAAATACATACACCGGTTTATTAACTTTTTGAGCTACACATAAACATGCATTAGCCCTCTTTTCCCGAACAGATTTTTATCTCAAATCGGAACCCGGACATTTCTGATTTCACAGATCTCCGCCTGGCAACTGAAAGATCCTCTGTTATCATCAAGAAGTATCCGGTCCTTCAAATGGGATATTAAGATTTAGGTCCAGTGTACATGTAGGTCAGTGTGCAATGTGTGTTTAAGGACCCAGGAAACCAGATAGGTGGTTTGCCTCACCCTTTTGCTTTTTGCTTGTTCATTAATGCATTGATGCCAACCTCGTCCCCAGTGGTTTCTTTCTTTGCAACGTCATTTCCAATAGTAACCCCTGGATGGGAAACTTGCTTCCTGTATCCCGATTCGATACAGCAATAGCAGGTAACGGATTTATATTGTGAACTTGGTGGTGTTATTTCCATCGTGTATTACCTATGTTAACGTTCAATGTGAATTACAAAAACAATCCCACTTTTCCATTTTGCTTATAGTAATACTGCATATTGGCTGAAACATTTTAACATATTAACTTTGAAAACATTTGTGTATCTCTCGCCGCGACCAATTGATTCCTTTTTTACCCCAGACACAGCTTACAAAAGCAGACACTAATTTATGGCACAGCCAGGCATCAGACTATATTCCTAATTTGCATACATGTGCAAGATTTTTGAACATGTAAGGCCGTTTTTTTTTAATTACTTGGATTACGGAATTTTTGGGTCCCCATTTCCGGCGGCGAGCGGGAAATGAAAAAAAAAAAAAAAAAAAAAAAAAAATGGGGGCGCCCTATCATCCAACATGGCGGCGCCCATAGAGACATGAAGAAACAAAAACGGGCACGAGAATGAACAGTCACTGCATTTTCAAAACCACGGTTTCAAAGAAATAGTGACCATGGAGTGACCAACGGCCCTTTCCTTTCTTTATTTCTTCAAACCTGTGCAATAATTGGTACTGGCGTATATTTTATGAGTTTTGTAATGCTCTGTGTACAAAGAATGGCAGCAACTAAATGAAAAACCGTGGCTCATAACAAACGCGTAGACTGTAGGTTCCGGGTGCTGTGGCATCGTGAACGTACATGACGTGACCCAGTACAGTGCATAGCTAGCTAGGTTGTCCGATTCCATGCATGCACCAAACAGGTCAGAGGACTAGACCACTATTCACTACGGGGGAGCGGTATAGTTTCACTGTACATGTACTGTTGAACAGAACGTGACCCGTAATTTCAGAATATCTAAAGTATATATTTCTAACAACGCCTTTCCAAACATCTCCTTTAGAACAATAGAAATACACAGTACGACCTAACACACTGCATGCATTGACAGCGCGCGGCCTGGCCATGCACAATATTTACGGCCACGTGTGGTCTGTGCATGGACTCACCATGTGCACCATACATGGCTGCGCGCGGCCCGCACGGCACAGTCTGTAGTCGTCGCCAGTCTAAGTCATGTCGTTCGATCAAACCAGTACTAATACTATGGTTTACAGGCCTGGACAGCGCGCAATATAGAGTTTTTTGTACAATAGGCACATTTTTTTTTTTTTTTTTTTTTTTTTTGGGGTAGTCAGAATCGACAATTTCCGGCGGCGATTTTTTTTAATTTTTTTCGAAATTCCGATTTTTTCCGGCGGCGATTCCGTAATCCAAGTAATTAAAAAAAAACGGCCTAAATGATCCAATACCTGGGTGAGAGAGCAAGTAGTGGTGGGCATGTACTACTTGACACCATGGGAATGAGGTTGGCATTGATGCACATTTGAACATATGAAACACTAACTGATAAGAAATACTCATGTTCTCTTCATCAGAGTGATACCCCTGACCAAGTCCCTGAGTTCTAACCCAGCCTTGATCAACCTGGATGACAAAGTCCCCAGCCCCCCTACCCCCCTCGGTGCTGACGAACGCCGGTCCAGCCAATACAAAACACCAGAGGGCCTCCTACAACAGTCTGAGGAGGAGGCCTCCAAATATGCAAATGTGAGTCTTTTGAATATGCAGATGTGCAGACAAGCAGCAAGACTTTTTTTTATAAATGGCTCTCTATACCACAGAGTTTGTGTGGAAAGTTAGTTTATCTCAATTTTAGAGTGGAAAAAAATGTATTTATATGCCAAACAATAATTCCCACAACGCCACCACTTCTGTAAAACAATGTAACAACAATAATTAATCAAATTAGGTTTTGCCCTTCACCGACGTTTTTTTTAAACACTGTATACTCAGTTTGATTATACTCATTTGATTTATATCACCCCGACGCAAAAATTCCATCTTATAACAATAATTAAGTAACTAGAAAGCACTCAGAGAGCGCAAACCTCCGCCAAGTCTAAACAACTCCCCGCCATATTGTCAGTACCACCCAAAAGACATACTTGCTTAAATGGTGAAGAATCCTTAAAAAAAAAATCCAGGATCCAGACCCAGATCCGGATCACTTCAAAAATCTAATCGATTTGTACTTGTACCAAAGACCACACCTGTCCATAACTTTTAGAGTTATCTTGTTCACAGATAAACCAACAAACCAAACAATCAACCAACCAACAAAATTGGATGAAAAAATGTATAGCCTCCTGGGCAGAGTTAATAAATATTAAAATGACACTGATCATGCTGATATATGAAAAGGGGTGACCTTAAAATCTATATTTATGGAGGCATGTTCTGATACAAGAATCTAGGAATGTATGTGGCACCTAAGTTTTTGGACACAGAGCTGTGGCAGCAATTGTTAAAACTGAAACCTTTTTACAAATTCAAAAGCTGGTTCATATTGGTTCGAAAGTGAACCAAAAAGGTGCATGTGTGATGTTGCATATAAAGCGAGGTTTTTACTCGGTGAATTGCCAAAAGTTTTAATGCATCTTTACTCACTACAAACTCACTACGAACAGTTCAAGATGCCAACTTTATCACTTTGCATTTACATTTTTTTCAACTGAACCACAAAGGCAAACTGACTAGGTGAATTGTAACAATTATTTGAAAGGTTGAACAAAGATGCAGACCTGGGAAATAGCAAACGGGGATCACTCAGAGAGGCTACGGCTTTTGCATCGCGACTTTGTGCCTGATCCTGGCTGCATATACGGGTTTATGGCTTCTGACTAGCGCCCATTGAACAAAGATATTGACAAATTGGGGAACCGCCAACATAGAGCTGGATAGCTCAGTTGGTAGAGCACCGGAACAGTAATCCGGAGGTCGCAGGTTCAAACCTGCTCCAGTCAATTTCTTTGTTCAACTTTTCAAACAACTTTGCATTTACGTACGAACAGGCCCTAAATCAGATTTGTTGGAAGAATTCCTGATCATTTTCTTTTGACTTGAACACTGCTGTATTTTCTCTTCTTTGCCACAGCTCTTTAAGCTAACGAAGACGCCGGCGCGATCCAACAGCATTCCTCTTGCCACGACGACCGATCTGCCCACTACGCCGCGCAGGCTGTTTGTGATACGACACGCTGAGAGAGTAGACATCACGTTTGGTCAGCAGTGGCTACAGCATTCGTTCGATGATAATGGTAAATATGGCCAAAAATACAAGAGAAAGTTTGGAAAAACCACTGGGACTGGCTCCAATGGTGCTTGAGGTTTAAACAAAGATAAGCACTGTCGATATATCAATATTACTCAATTATTCAATATTCATAAATACCTCAGACAGTTTAGCTATTCCTATTGGTCGAGAGCCCGTCACGTGGCCGGTCTTAAACGGATGATAAAGACATGGCTAGCTGGTCTTAAACACTTTTCCAGTGTCACAATAAAATGTGGACTCCTAAAAATCCAGTGCCTCTTACCGTTTCATTGGTTGAACGTTCACAATCCTCACGTAGGCATGCGCAACACTACCAACGAGTCAGAATTCTATAGTTCTAAATTCAAAACGCAACGCCCCAGGTGCGTTCTGCGCGACATCGCGCAGAACATGCTACGCGCGCGTCAATCTCCATAAAAGGGTTGTTTATATCTTACTCGCCAACTGAACACTCCATTATTTTGCTAGAGGGATGTTTCAAAAAGCATGAAGTGAACTTGTTGAACAAAATCGGGATTTTTTAACAAATTATTTGATTTTTTTTTACCGAAAAGGTATTTATGAATGGGAATAAATATGTGCTTGGTCGGTATTTATCACTCTGTTTAATACCGCTTAGAGTCTGAGTGCTGATAATTACCCTCGCCTCCAGCTCGGGTAATTATCAGCACCCAGACTCTAAGCGGTCTTTAATAAACAGAGTGATAAAAACCTTGGAGCACACATTTATTCCCTTATTATAGTGATATCGATATCACCGATGACAATGTTGTAATCGTTTCAAACCATCAAAATTTTCCATATTGAGGAATGATATCGAAAATACGTCAGATTATCGTCAAAATAAATCTCCCGTTTGTGCTTTTACTTTGTGTTTAACTTTTGCTGTATAATGAAATAAAACTCGCGGCAAATTGTGCTTCTGACTCAAAATATAAACATCGTGAAATGCCCAGCGGCGCCACTTTGTGCTCTGCTTTCACTTGAATTTGGGGTCTCCCCCAATGTAAAACCTCAAACAAATGCTGCCCTGGACAAACTCTCAGTGCTGAGATTTGTTTTAAAAAGTTTGAGCAATATATGCTCCAGAGAAAGCTGTAGAATATTTCTTTTAACAAAGTGTCATCTTTATGGTCTTTAACTTTTACATGGGATAATCGATATATCGAATATTCTCGATAGTGGATTTCCAATATATTGTAGCGCAATGCATTTTATGGAGGGCGCACTTTAGTTCTCTACTGGTAGCCAGCGGGGTGCGCGTGCACTCACCCAGGTTTATGGGGGCACCAGCCAATAGCGCCAGTGTATATAAGCGGCCATGCGCTCAGCTTCGCCCTCTTTCTGCTGTGGCCGGAACCCGAGCGCGGTCTCAGGAAAAGTTGCACTATTCTAATCTCCCACAATTAACCAATCACCAATCACCTATAGTCGCAGCGGAGGGAGCCTCATACTTTGTGTGAGTGTAGTTAATTAATGATTCCTGCATTATAATCCAGATAATTATGTAATCTCTGAGTTTGTAAGGGAAGTGATTGAGTATAAGATCACGTAGGCGAGGCGCCTGGGTAGGCGAATAAAATAATCTTCCGAAAGACATATCTGGTGTCAGGTCCCCATCCTTCCCCAGTCCCCCTAGTTAGTCCGCTTGGGTTGTGTGAGCGAGAGTGCGTGTGAGGGTGATCCTTTGGTAGTCTGCTGCGGGCCTGGCGGTAAATCTCCGCCGAAACGGATCTGCGTACCCGACCGTAGAGGCTAGGCCGTTCGCCGCTACTCGCCGGGGCAGTCGTCCGAGGCAGTACCGCTACAATATCAATGATTGAAAAGTCTGATATCGATGGTTTTTAAACGAAGACAGAACACATTCAGGTTAAATTGCATGCAGTTGTGCATACTTTGCACCCTGCTAGTGATGCATGCGCACTGCAATCACCGTCTCTCGGAGAACCTAGGTGGGTGAAGCAATATCATGAATAATTCAGTAGTTTCAATGGAATATTAGGCCCCAAAAAAAAAATATTTGGTCTCTGGTCAGACCAAAGTTCCGGAATTGACGCGGCGACGCGGGTTTTTTTTTTTTTTTTCTTTTTTTTTTTTCTTCAAGCTTGGATTGTACAGACAAGGTGGGGTACTATTTTGCTTTTTTGGTGTCCTCATGTACATTGGTGTCCTCCATAATTTGCCTTGGTGCTTTCGATCATTTGCCTTGGTGCAATTTCCCATTCCTTGGTGCTCTTTGGTAAAAAAAATTGAGGAGGTGCGGAAATAGAGGGCGCTGTTGGAGCTACCGCGGAACATTTTGGGGGAAAAAAAGATCGACGCGCATGATTAAAATCGACGCGCGCGCTGACCAGAGACCGACTTATTTATTTTTTTGGCCTTACTGCAAGGCACGTAGGTTCTAATTCCTAATAATTATAATCAGCATTTAAGAACGTTCTTATTAGTAAACTAAATCACAGCGCTTACAAATAATGAACAATTAAAGTAAATAAACAATTTAACTTAAATAATAGAAACAGGTAGAATAGACAATGAATTGATTATTGGTGGAATAAATGGGTCTTGATCAGCTTCCTGAATTGCTCGAGAGATTTGACATTTTGAATGGAAAAGGGCAGACTATTCCACTCCTTCGCTGCAGTGACTGTGAAGGTTCTGTCACCAGCTTTGTTGTGGGTACGTCGGAAAGTCAGGCGAAAAGGATTAGAACTAGAACGGAGGTTTGGTCTGGGGGGAACATGAGGCAAAATGCAGGACTGCATATATTCTGGTGACTGGTTGTGAAATGATTTGTATACCAAAAGTAATAACTTGTAACGAATTCGTTTGGAGATGGGTAACCAATATAGTAACTGCAGCAAAGGGGTGGAATCCTGTCTTAGGTTGGTCCTGTAGATTAAGTGAGCTGCCCAGTTCTTGAGACTCTGGAGTCTTTTAAGGTGACATGTAATTATATGAAATGTTTACTTTTTCGGCAGGAAAGTACAACAGGAAGAATTTGAATATGCCAAAGAGAGTTCCGGTCCGGTCCGGTGGGTCACTGTCATTCAGTAAGGACTCTCCTATCACCGAGGTGGGCAAGTTCCAGGCAAGATTGACCGGTGAGAATTAAGCTGAACCCTCCCCGATCCTTCACAATTGACCTATCGCCGTTTGTGAGTTAGCCACGCCCCTTAGACAACCCTAGGGAGTTTTTGTACACTAAGTTTTCACAAGCTGCGTTGACGAGATTCTAATGTGATTCTACCACGATAGGTCAATAGAGCAGGACGTTTTTGGAGGATTTGGGGGAATCGAAAACAGTTCCCTACCACTATAAGCCCAACCACATTATTTTAAATGATTAAAGGCCATTATTTTAAATTTAAGTCCACTGTCGATCACTAGCGTCTTGGGCCAGCAGCATGAAATGCCATGTTGACTGGCATAACTTACATGCATGAACTAATAAACGTCAAAACCTACAAAATCACATGAAAATTACATACATCAGGAAGGAGATATCAAGTTCACTAACTTAGCAAAAAACTGTCATTTTTTGGTGTTGTTCCAAATGATGTTTGCTTTGTGTTTTTTCCTTTATATATTTAGCCACTAAATATTGGAAAGCATGTGTGCATTGATCGGTTGATGATATGGCTCATGACCCACCGTTCTGCCTAAGATACATTCGTTGTATTTTTGGTGATGGACGGTGATTTAAAAAAAAATTCTGATTTCTGATATTTTTTGGACGGAGGATCCATAATCAAAGAAATACAAATAAAGGGACTTCTCTAGCCACCTGTATCTGCATGCTGGTGTGGCAAGGGACATCGTTCAGTGCTGTCATTTCTCCTGGAAAAAAATCTCCTCAGTCCATTTGAAAAGAAGATATCATAGTGTCAATCATTTAATTCACTGTCAGAATCAATAAAGTCTTTGTTTTTGTATGAATTATTTGGCTAATATGACAATTTACGCATGGTTCTTGTAACAGGTGAAAGCATGAGAGAAAACGGCATCGTCATATCTCATGTCTACTCCTCCCCGGCTCTCCGATGCGTGGAGACTGCCAAGGCTGTCATAGATGGTAACGGATTCCTTCTCATAAACATTGCTGTCTTGTGTTCTATTTAGGACCCGTCTCAATTCAAATCCGGGACGAGTGTCGGACAAAGTTGCGGGTAGAATCATTCACTTTGTCTGGAAGAGGCTCTGCATTTGTCCCAGACATGTTCTGGGGGAGTTTTCAATAATGACTGCTTGACTCGCCAACACTGAAAACTTCATTGCGAGAAGATTGCAGGGAAGTTGTTCAGAATCCTGCAATGTATACGCGATACAATGTCGGCAATTTGTCCGGAACTCGTCCCAGATATGAATTGAGATGGGCTCCTGTTTGAAGGAGACAGGTGTTTCTCATAACTGTAAAACCCTTAAAATGTCATATGACATGCAGATTTTATATAAAGTTGTGGGGCATTATTCGCGTAGCTGCTAAGCAAACACATTTTCTAAGCAAACACATTTTCACTCTTTATTCATCATCAGCGTTTAGAGTCCATTTGTCCCACTTTGTGGGGTTGGACATTTCATTTTCTTAATTTTCCTAAATTTTCACTCTTTATTCAACACCACAAATATCAGATTTACATTTCTAATGACAGATTCCAAACAGGATATTGGTAGAGCTCTCGCCCCATATATTACGGCCCTGTGTATAGTAGCGCATCAAGGATTTGTCTGTGGGTAGGGCTCACCATCTAAGGCTGTGTATTTTTGAATAATTTACTATTCGATTACACGAAACTGTGTTCGACCAAATATTCGGATTTTCAAAACTGCCAACTGCAACTGCGTGTCGCACCAGTCAAAAGTTGCACGCAGAGCGCGCCGGTTAAAATTTGTCTGCGGCGATCGATATGGAGCGTTTTGCAGCAAGTATTTTATAACTGTCAAAGGCTTTAACCTGCTAAAAGGATAGAAACAATGAACAGCCGTCGACAGAAAAGTTACTGTCGACAAAAAAAGTGGCACCTGACAATAAAACATAGCAACTTTATGATATAAGTATCATCACAGTCGTGTGTGTGTGTGCGTAGTTTTTGGGTTTTTGAATATCCAAAGCAGCAAAAAGCTATTGTTATATTTGGTTGATGATCAAATATTTGAATATTCGGTATATCGGGGACAACCCTATCGCCATCAGTTGTTCCTTATTTTGTTCCGGATTACGCTCTGCCACAGACACAACCCGGCTCGTGGTGCCTAGGGGCCAAAGGATGGTTGCGGAGAGGTCATTCTCTATCTGTGCCCCTAGATTGTGGAATGATCTCCCATCAACCATCAGACTGGCTCCTAGCCCACAAACATTCAGAAGCCTCCTCAAAACACGCCTGTTTGTCTGATCTGTTATGTGATTACTCTTTCAATGTATCTGTTTATGTTTCTATGTTTTTGTTTGTAAAGCGCATTGATCATTAATTTGGAACTGCGCTATATAAGCACCGGTATTACTACTACTATTACTGTAATAGGGCGACAGGTTTTGCGAACTCCGTCCACAATAGGGCGATACACCTTATTGAGGCGACAAAATAACTGTCGCCCTTTTATGAAAACGACCCTTAGGACAAGGAATTTTGCTGTCGCTAACCATCTAGATCGATTCCTCATGGTCCAATTAGTATAAATACTAAATTTCGTGGAAAAAACATAAGGTAAACTTGGGTTAGGTGACAGTTTAGGTTTGTGCACAAGTCTATGGGAAAGTCACCCTATTGCAGCCAAAAGAGTAATTATTATTATTATTATTATTATTTCCTTTTCGGGAGGGGAGCTGGGTATTGGGAGGAAAGCTCAAGCAAACCCTGATGTCCCCACCTCCCTTTGGTGCGCCACTGCCGATGAAGTAGAATTTATTGATGACAAATTTGCAAACATGATTTTGTTTTTACAGGCCTGAATCCTCTGGAGCCACTGAAGATCCGAGTGGACACTTCCCTCTTTGAGTGGCTGGCCTGGTGCAAGGGTGTCTTCCCAAAATGGATGACGCTTGCCGAGCTGGAGGCCCACGGGCTGTCTGTAGATATGAGCTACAAGGAGTTGATCTCGGCCTCGGATCTCAGCCTGCAAGAGAACTGCCAGTCTTACTACAAGAGGGGAGACACGCTGCTGAGGCGGGAGATCAAGGAGCACCCTAAAGGTAGGTCATGGGGTCAAAAGGTGGGTTGTCAAAAGGTCAAATGGAGGACAAACTGGTCAAATGGTGGTTTGATGGTTAAATGTAGGTTATTTAGATCAAATGTAGTTCATAAAGATCAGATGCATAGTCGTAAAAGCCAAATGTAAGCCACAGAAGGTTCAACACGTTTGCGGTAATGATCTTCAATAACTATAACTATAACTTACAACATTTATAATGTGCTTTTCACCATGTTTCAAAGCGCACAGTTGTTTCTTGTACAATTATCAATTTACTGATCAAAGGCTTGTGAAAAAAAGAAAGCTCTTAAGTACTGTCTTAAACGAGTCTAATGAAACAGTTTCATGGATGTGGATGGGAACTTGGGAAGAGAGTTCCAGAGTTTCAGGGCTAGCACAGAGAAGGCACGGTCGCCATAGCGGGTTTTGGTTTTAGGTCCAGGCAGTAACTGAAGATGGGCTGTAGAATGCGATCGGAGGTGGCGGGATGTAGGTGAAATGGCTGTGGACCGGGTAGATACGAGCTTCTGGAGGTATGATGGGGCAAGGTTGTGAATGATTTTGAAAACAAGGAGAAGTGTTTTGAAGATGATGCGTTCGTGAACCGGAAGCCAATGAAGAGACCAAAGGACTGGTGTAATGTAATGAATGAATGTGTGAAGTCTAATGCAAAATCTGACTTGAAGTAATCTATCCGACTATCAGAAAAAAAAGAAGAAAACACTGAAAATGCTATGGTCTTGTTGCCTAGATGTCTTGTGTCCTTGGGCGCGACACTTTATATCACTCATTGATTCTCCCCACCCAGAAGTAAATGGCTACCTGTGAGGAGAGAATATGGGTTTGATTAAGCCTGTTGAGTCTATACGACAGCATCTAGCTGTATACTCCCCAGGGAGCTGAGATGGACTTTCGAATGTTTTCATTGACCAGATGATCAGGGACACTATTAAATCGCACCGTGATAGTTAAGGGTATATCTTCCATCACCGGCCGGTTTAAGTACAGGCCAGCCGGTAGCTTGGCCGGTTAGTTTAATCGGCACAATTGCGGAATAGCCCGCCACTTGATCTATGCACCTCGTAGCCGGCTATGAAGTCAGGGTTGATTGCCCTCAACAAACCTTCTCAGCATTACCTGTACGTACTAGGCCTACACACTTCATGCTCCACTGCACTCCTACTCTGTATCCGCGTAGCCGGCAACAGGGTAGTTGGTTTGGACTTAGAATATTTTTTCAGCAACTCCCATTCCTTTTGTGTTGCTTCGTTCTCAAGCATTATCAAGGGAACTCCCACTCCCTAGCCGCGTAGCCGGCAACAATATAGTTGGTTTGGACTTAGAATTTTGTCAGCAACCCCCATTTCTTTTGTGTTGCTTCGCTCTCAAGGGGACCCCCACTCAGTATCCGCATAGCTGGAAATGGGCTTGAATTGTTTCTTTTCCAGTGATTCCAACCGCGTAGCCAGAGATTTTAGGGTGTATTTCCGAGTGGCGGGGTATTCTGCAATTAACTCCATTTAATCCTCTTCAAACCGGCCAAGCAACCAGCCAGACTCTGGCTGAGGCACCCACCCACTATACGCGATCTATTGTGTTCGTGCCTGATAATTGCTGGTCCAACATCTGGGACCCAACAATGACGGGTATTTAATCCGCTGTTGTTTGTTGAGTGCCGACGAGATACTGGAGCAAGAGCGGCCTTGTAACCGGCCGAGAGGGGCAAAAATACCGGCCAAGGATCCAACCGGCCTCAAAGGGGCTGGCTTAGGCTGGCCAGTACTTAAACCGGCCGGTGATGGAAGCTAAGCCTAACCCGGTTGTTTGATATGCAAGCTAACTGAGTCTATAAATCCATATTATTATGTCTACAGGTACTTTCTTCCATGTTAAAATGTTGGTAAATAAGGCTTTTTTGTTGTTGTTTAGAGCTTATATTATTGAGAACACATCTTTTGTGTTTTCAAACTTCCACAGGTGATATCCTGATTGTGGGTCATGCTAGTAGTCTAGATGGATGCACACGATACCTGCAAGGTTTGTCAGCAAGACCAGCGCTAGAGTTCTCCAAGATAGTACAGAAGGTTAGTGTCTGTCAGAGTACAACTCTGAAACCTAGGACTTTGATCGTCTATTCAAAATAGCACTTGGGAAGATAGGAACATTTGATTAACACAAGGCTTACCAAATGTAACGAGACTCTTCTTGCAGTTCTATTGAAACTGATGATATCCAAACATGACTTTTTTTTCCCTTGGTTTTGGCAGTAATTAAGGGGAAAAGAGTGTGGTTTGAGGAGTTTTAAATGTATGGTTTGAAACCGGTTTGGGGCCTGGTCGTTAACAATAGCCAGACCCAAAGTTATGAATACTCTCTTCATCAAACCCCCAAAAGTTATTGAGTTGACACAGTCCAAAGATTGTGTTCCACTATTATGATATATTGCTGTCCATGTTTTGGTCATTTTTATGGTGCATGCAGTATGCGTAGTGCACTCAAGCACTAGGCCTGTACGTGTGTACTTGTACAAAAAGTTCATGTTGCTGTGTTGTACATGCACATGTAGCTGGGTGCATGTGGAGCGGCGCACGTGGCTGCATGACTGGTTTGGAACACTTTTCAGTGGTTTAATAATTTTCAGTGGTGTGTTTTAATACCACCCATGTGACAGACTCCTGACCGTCACATGGTTGATAAACTGTAACACCAGTAGGTATTTATGAATGAGAAGTTTTTAAATGGACAGCTGGAAAATGGACCCATGTTAATTTTGGGTGGGTGTTTGCCAGACTACTCTCTAAAGATGTTATCCTTGCATCCAAGAAGATCTGTGAGGCTGCCCAAGATAGAGCCATTCGGAGAAACCTTGTGAGCGGCTGCTGCGTGGCCGACTAGTAGTAGCAGTAGTAGGTTATGGTCTCCCCCCCCCCCCCTTCTCCCCAACCCATTCCTGGCTTCTGGCCTATTTGGATGCCTGCACTCCATCTAGTTTCTTCTTTTACTTTTCTTTTATCTTGTTGCCTGTTTTCTTTTCTATTTTAGATGAAAACAGGAGGGGGAGGGGCTGTTAGGGAGGGGGGCTTTAGTGCAGAACACACTGTTCTTACAGCACTGTCCCCACCATTTACCTACTTAAAGAGTATTTTATCTCCTGCAGATCCCGTATTGTGGAGCTGTCGCCCTTCAGGAGTATCAAGACTTTGGTATCTGGGATCTGATCACCCCGCCGTTTGCGACGCTGACGCACGCCCCCAACGGTCGCTTCGACTGGCACATTATGCAAGGATAAAACTAAAAGAAGTATGTCGGCGCAAGCAATGTCTTTCAGAATAATTGAGCTGAATATATATATTATGATGATTTTTTTTATGCATAGTGCTCTGTAAAGCTGTAGATAACAAATCAGGATTAGGAACAGGAATAGGGAAAATGTTATATAAAAGGAAAAAGGAACTAATGTCTCTTGATATTGAAAGCGAAGCAGAAAATTTGGCAGTAAGTCGTATATTTTTATAGCGTAAACATTTTTCTACATGTATAATTATATAATAATGGATGGCTTTGGGGGATACAAGAATATTGCACGAGGTATTGCAGCATTGTTATAGCGAGTGCAATATATTCTTGTATCCCCGAAAAAAGGCCATCCAATATTATTATTTATATCATTCTGACTTGATCCGCAAACGTTTTGAAGACACTGTCTTTATCTCTCTTACTGAAGCAAATTTCGCGCTGCTCGAGGCTGCCATTGTCAACAATGGCAACAGTGTCATTGTCAACAAAAGCAACAGTGTGCGTGTATCCTTCTGTGCGCTGCGTCCGCGCCGCGTGCGACTGTTGACTGGCTGACAACTGTGAGTTTCTACACTCATGATTGTGCAGGAACCAACAAAAATGCCCGGATGAGAACAATATAAAAAATAATAGAAAGACCAGGGCCCAATGTTTTATAGCTGATTTTCAAAAGTAATACTGCTTAGTAAGTTTTCCAGCAAACAAAATTGGCTGGAAACCAGTCAAAAGCAACATACATGTCATGACCTTTTTGTTGGTATCCTGCACTGCTTATCAACTATTTTTGTATCATGGTTTACTTAAGCACCATGTGACAAGTCTCATTGAAGAGTTTGTGAGGTTCTCAAAAGAACCGGGGGAAAGTCAATGTTTCGGACAGTATCCGCTTCGTTCACAAGTACCCCTTCACCGGCAAAGAAAGTACAGTTGGGGGTGATGGATGACGCCATCTTGCCTGACTGCAACATTTTGCCGCGAAGCGTGGCCACTGCGTGTACATAGTACAAATCCCCTGGTGTACGTGCATCACACAAGGAACGGTGCGCGCGCATCAACCACCAAAATGTTTGTGTCCCGCCCATGGGACGTCGTTGCTAGGTAAAAGGGCGCCCTCTTGTTGCAGACGGAGCCCATACTCTGCCTGTCGTCAGGAGACTGAAAGTAAGCCTGACACTCCCCCTATTTTTGTTTAACAAAACTTCTTAGCCTGGCATATTCGTGAAGGGTGGAAAAAATAAAAAGGATTTTTATTGTTCATGTGTCACATATTTTTTTTTGTTCAATCAGCATGGGGGGGGGGGGGGGGGGGGGTGTCCCGTGCTTATGTTAAACTTGACCCAAGACTGAATTTGTTTTTTATTCCTCTTATACAGCCATCCCTCTTATATCTTTGTTGATCCAGTTGTTGACTCAAGTACGCTTCCTAAGCAATTCGCAAGTTTGAGAAGTAGGGTTTGGGTCAATCGGATTTGGGGAAAATAAGTACAAAGATAAAGTATGTTGCACATTGGTTTTAGATAAAGGTGCAAGGTGAAATAACGTGATGTTGTTGTAACGGAGTTAGATGGCTGCACAAATGGCAAAATATCACCAATGATAAAAAAGTGATCCAAATATGCAATAATGACTAATCTTTGGGAACAAGGGCTTACTTGATATTTTTTTTTTTTTAATTTGAAAGTAATATTAGAAGAGGTTTGTTGCCACTTGACCCACAGGAACATAAATTAAGTTATATATATATATATATATATATATACATATTAAAAATAAGATGGATTATACAGCATAAATTGTCATTATTTAATATTAAGCATTGCCATGGGATAGATTAGAATTAGCAAGAAATGCCATTGGCCACATCAGAACTGATCATTAGCAAATAGGTACGTGCTCATACATGTAGCTAGCTCTGCATGCATTGCTCCAAAGAAATTCTTGAAACAGATTTCCTCATGAATCCCCAAATAATAGTACCACTTTGCATGGACACAAAAACACATTCTTTTTCCTTTCACTTTCAAGTTGCAGCTTTACCTTTTCACTCTTGCTGAAAACCCTGGTGGAGTTTGTAGGGTATGGAATCGGTATGTGTACAAACTGTTGGCCTTAGTGAAATCTAATATTTACGATTTTTGGTTTTCAATTATGGAATTGATAAACACAATTAAGGGGCGGATAAGTAGATTGTTAGGTCAGGATTTGATATCGCGACTGTGCTGCATATATTGTAAATTTACATAATTTGAAATAATAATTTGGCATTGAGAGGCCATGCTTTATTTTATTTTTGTATTTTGTAGCCATTTTTAATTTCTTAATTTTGTTTTGTCAATTTCAACTCTGTAAATTATTGTGTTTTTTCTTGAAAGGGTTCTGTTTTTAAAGTTCTTTGCTTGTTCTTTAAAAACGTTCTCTTATAACTCTGATTGTTAGGATCAAGTCTTCACTAGTCGACTTGTGACTGACTTGTGACTGACTTATGACTGGTCTTTAATTGACTTGTAATTGACTCGTATACATCTCTGACAATCTGAGAGCTTGACTAAGTGGGTGAGTGGTGTAATTAAGTTGACTTAACTGCCAGTCTTAACTGCGAATCGTATGTAAAAACTTGTTGGCATACCTATAATTAATATATCATGGTTACGAAATGGCCAGAGAAAACCCTGTGTAATGCTGTGCAGTATTGAGTGCTTTGTATTTTTCTACTTTAAGTGTAATTGCATTCAGATATAAAATAAGACGTAAGGTTAATAGTGCATCAGCATTATTTCTACATCCTTCTACTGCAGAAAAACATGGGAGAACTTTTGTTTTTAAAAGTAAATTGTAAGTCTTGATTATTTATACCTGAAAGAATTCACATGTAAAGACCTGAGGAAATTCGTTTTAGAATTTGCTAAACTGAAAAATATTGTTGTCAATTTCCACAAAGTCGATTCTTGAAAACCGAACACTGTGTTGTAAAAAGTAAAAAAAAAAAAAGGATTCGAATATTATACTTTAAAAAAATGCTGGTCAAACTAAAACTGTTGAGCAAAAAATGTATCGGCCAAACAATAGCAAACAATAAGTTCACGTCTATTTCATAAAGTTTTGCGTGTCTACCTTTGTATGCATGCATTTATCAACACATTTCTATTTAAGGGAAACCTGTTTGTACCTTTTTGTAGTTACATTATATCAGATTCTAGTCTTTCATTAATATATTTGCAAGTATAGACGTCTTTATAGATGCATTATATTGCAATGCGCGTTTACTAGAGGATATAGCCTAGATGGAACAATAGTTTTGGCTGCAAACTGTATGGAAGATGTTCATCGTGGCATAAGATTAAGATGCATTTTCGGAGCCCCATCTCGTCCTCTTTAAGGTACGATATTCTTTCTAAAAAAAAAAAAACAAATTTCCGAAATCACACATATCACAGTATTTGGCCGTGGCATGTGGGGATTGATGTTCGATTCCTATAAACTATAGAGAATCAAAGATGATGGTGTCATTTACATCTATAAACCCTAAACTTGTGAATAGTTTAAGTGCGGTACCCGCTGCTACATCCGATTCGAACCAACTGATTCCGCAAGCTCGGTGGTCGAATGGTAAGAATTTTGCACTAGAAAGCAGGAGGTCGTGGTTCGAGTCCCACCGAGTAATTAGCATTAATTGCTATAGGTCATAGCAAAGTAGTTCATGTCCATATAAACGATTTTTTTGTTTGTTTATTTGGGGCTTTGTACATTCGCTTGCTTACGCAATTTGAACAAATATTTTATTAAAACTTGTAAATCTTAATTAATGTAAAAATAAAAACTGAGGTCAATAAAATGGATATTTTTGTAGATGGATGTTACCGCTAATGCTTATTGAGTATTCGTTTGTTTGTTTTAGCTATACAATCAATCTGACATCTGAAAACAGAAAATATCTTTATCTCCCCCCCCCCCCAAAAAAAAAAAATTAAAAAAAATTAAAAAAATAAGACGTATCTTTTCTGGACGCTTTACCATCCGAACCGATGTATCCGATTGAGGTCATGTAACTTAACTTTGGGAAATTGATTTTTTTATGGAGATTCTGCACAACTTTTGATTAGGCCTACTTTGATTAATACAAATTGACGAAAAATTCAAAAAAAAAATGTTAAGCATGACATTACAAACATTCCTTATGAAATACTAATTACGAAAAAGGAATGTAAAATGTATGTAATCACCGACAGTTGCCAGTTTGATTGCTATTTGAAGATGAAAGAAGCAGCACAAATTGACGTTTTCTTTCTCAGCGGGAACCAGTCACTGCTGCACTAGCACGTACGGGCCCACGTGTTTTCATACATCAATGCAGCTATATGCGATATGTAGATAGTGTACGTACAGTATACAGCCGCTGTGCAAGCACGATCTTTGACGGTATGTACGAGGTCAGTGTTCGTTCATTTATAGCAAAATTCCGCAGAATAAACGTGAGTTTGGGCATTAATACAAATGAGTAATACGTATTGCTAAAGACTTAAAATCCTTGGCGTTTTTATCAATCTTATATTTAAACTGCCCGTGTTTGATGAGCCCTTTTTTGGATTTTTGAGGAGCGCTATTTGTTGCGCTCGGAGACAGTACAGTCGGGGAGCGCAGTAGGAGCGCCTGCGCGATCGCGCTCCTTAAAAATGAAGGACTGAATTATTTGATTAATGCATAGTTGTTAAGCAAATATTGTAAATACAATATATTTAAAACTATAATAACTACATGTACAGTGTGAGGGCTTTACTATAAGGTGGATTCAGTGAACACGACAAATCTGGATCTATCTTGTAACATCAAGAACAAAAATATATTCGCTGATTACGGGAGGGGAGAGTCCCCGCGCAAAACCCTTTTGGGAGGAAACGCGGGGAAATTAGTCCCATCCGGCTCCTTATTATCTCCTTATTATTATGGCAACCAAGTTTGTTAACTCCGTAGATCAGCACATATCTAGATTTGTATAATCAGAGAAAACCGCGACAAATACACACACAATTATTTGTAGAAATATTATTACTGACTGAACGTTTTACGTAGTTCAGATTGAATGAGGTTAGAGAAGTCATGGTTCTCAACTGCACATGTAAATTATTCCATATGATTGGACCAGTTAAAGAAAAGCTTGAGGCATAACATATTTTTTTTGTGCAAAAGGAATCCTCAATGCCATATCAGTGGATTGTCTCGTTTCACGAATCTGAATAAGTGGTGTAAACAGATTTGTCAAAGGAGTAATCTAGCATCTAGCGCCAGAATGTTCAATCTGAGATCTTCCGTGTAGCAAGCATATATGGTTACTCGTATATTCATTAATATCATCACAAAGATTACAGGGTTGTCGATACAAGACGGCAGAGTTAAAACAATATCGGTAAGACTGATGTGAGGGTGAATTTGTAAATAATTCTTTGTTTGATTTATTGCTACACAACCTCTGAGAAAAAAATGTTTCTTCCTTACTTTGCTCATCAATAAATGTATGACAATAATGCATAATGCCGAATTTGTATTGCAATTCATATGGTAATTAAGGCCAAATGCACTTTTCTGTAAAACTGTAAAGTAACGAACAGCCGTTAGGATAAAATCCTTATTGCTTTTTCAAGGCCCGATTATGTGCATAACATTGGATTAGCAACAAGTACATGTTGCCTTTATCGCATCACATTATTGCAGTTTGAGTTGGGTTTAATAACACAACGCACACTTAATTCCCAGGCCTACCAATCTCAGGCTGTCGCCGATATTTAAGAGGCGAAACCGGACAAGATTCCTCCCGTTTCGTTGTGTCACAAATTGACCTGGGTCCTCCCCTATACCATCTCACACTCAACATGCCTCAGCATCATCATTAAGGCGCCCCGACATAATCACAGACAAAGGCAAAATGTACCCTCATCATCTATTTATTTACAATATTGACACAATACACACGAATTCAATAAAGGGGAAGAGAGTATTGAGCCAACTAAATTGTCAGCAGCACAAATTGGCGTTTTCTTTCTCGAT